TACCAAAAAAATTAAAAATCTGTCATCATTTACTCACCCTCAAGTTTTTCCAAGCCAGTATAAATGTCTTTATCAGGCTCTGTTTTCAGCTGAACACACACACAAAAAAAGATATTTTGAAGAATATGGCTAACCAGATGTTTGTTAGGCACCACCACTGACTTCCATAGTATTTTTTTTCTCTCCATAGTACTATGGAAGTTGGTGGGGTCCCACAACTGTTTGGTTATACATATTCTTTAAATTATCTCCTTTTGGGTTCAGCAGAAGAAAACAATTCATACAAGTTTGGAAAAACTTGAGGGGTAGTGATTTTCATTTTTTGGGTGAACTTTCCCTTTAATTTGATTCATTTAATTTCAGGACACTTCTAAAATAGTTTTTGTCACGTGGATCAAGTTGGGTTTTGAAAGATATCTTAGATATGAAAAACTGAACCTGATAAAATGAAAAATAAAATAAAATAATTATCAAAGAAAAAAAAAGATTTCAGTAAAAAAGTGTATTACTTAAACATGATTTTAACCCAAACATGGTAAAATGATTTTAAGCCAGTATTCACATTGGCATCGGTGGAGCATGTGCACCTGCCTGTACAATGGCATATGTGGTTTCCAATAGGGCAGCACTCTGGCCACTGAGTCCCTCATCTGAATCTGTTCACCCAGGTAGAAGAATCCATCATGGGCAAACTTCAGTGCCAACATGTCTGTGGGATGATCAGCCAGAATACCCTCCCAAACCTCACAGGCCTTGTGCAGGGCTCTGAAACACACCATTTAATGCACTTCATTCATATATGTATATATATATATATATATATGAAGAGTTCAGATGCAAAAGCCGCTAAATGCCATTTGAAATTTTCTTCTTTATTGATGATTTTTATATTTGTATATTTGTATATATTTTTTATATTTGTATAACTTGTATATTTAAGTTCAGTAATTTCACTTAAATAACAATTAAATGGTAATTATCATTGCCATTTAAGTGAAATCACTGAACTTAAATATACAAGCTTGATAAAAAAATTATCATTCTAGAAGAAAATTTCAAATGGCACTTGGCAATGTAACTCTTCATATATATATATATATATATATATATATATAAAATAAATATAAAAAATATATAATATATAAAATAATATATATATATATATATATATATATATATATATAATGTACATTATAAAATGTACAGTAAAATAAACACATAAATAGCATAAATTGTACAGTAAATTACTGTACAATTATAAAACACATTTTTAGTTAATGATAACAACTGTATTAGAGCCATTGGTATTTTAAAAGGATCCTTTTCAGATTAGATTTACCAGATAAAATTTACTAAATGTATGTCACCTCTAAACCCTCTTTTTAAAGTGATCTTTTCACAGAATTCTAGTGGTTTGACTAGCCAATTCATTAGAGCTGAGGAGATAAATGATTGGGAAACTTCTGTAAAAAGGCTGCTTTATTCAAGAACTTCAATCACGCTAAAACTTAGTTTCATATGGCAGTCACACTCTTTACAGCCCAAGGATACAGTACAGGGAACATGAATCTTAAAAGAACAAATTCATAACTGCTTGTTGGCCAAAGGCAACCTTGCTTAAAATTAATCAGAGAAAAAAACAAACCATTTTTAGAGTGGGCACATGTGAGGCATTGGTAATGTCATCAGATGAATCTCCTCATGAAGCTCCTAGTCTTTTTCATGTGAACTCACCCTTTAGAGAAGAGCTCCATGGCTTTCACATGGTTTCTCTCTCTGAACGTGAGCTCCTTACAGTTCGCCAGCTCCACAGTTTTCCTCACAGCGCTGGCCAATCTCTCATTCCGCAGGACTGAACTTCCTGTGCCCACCAACTCCAGCCCAGTAGAGATCACATGACCCATAACTGCAGCACAGTGGACACACTAATGAGGGACTTGTCATGGATGGATTGAATAACACTGAAGGGGTTTATCTTGTGATAATGACCAGCTGATTGTACATTATCACACTTATTACACTTACCAAATAAATAAATAGACATTATTGATTTTGAGATAAAATTATATAATGTGAGAAGACATGGAAGATTGTTTCCGCCATATAATACAAATGCAACACAAACATTCTCTCTCACATTACTGACTTTTTTCCTCACAATGGAGAGTTTACATCTTGCAAATCCTACTTCACAACTAGTTTCTAACAATTCTGATAAAAAAGTCTGAGAAAAAACGAACTGCAAAGAAATAAAGTGCAATTCTGACTTTATTTCTCGCTATTTCATATTTATAACTTGTAATTAGTAATTTTTTCTCAGCATTAAGAGTTTATAACTCACAATTTTGAGTTTATATCTGGCATTTCTGAGAAAAAAAAAAACTAATCTGATTTTATTTCTCGAGATTCCAAAACTCACAATTCTATATTTTCTTTGCTCACAATTGCGAGTTTATATCTCATAATTCTGACTTCTATTCTAGCAAGTCCAAATTCAGATATAAACTCAAAAAATGTGAGATATAAACTCAGACTTGTTAGACATAAAGACAGAATTGTGAGATATAAACTCACAACTGTAAGGGGAAAGTCAGGATTGTGACATAAAACGTTGCAATTATCGTTTTTATTTTATTTGTGGTGGCGTAAACAAGCTTCCATTGCAGACTGACAATGTGGAGTGAAATAATAAAAAAGTGACCGCAGAATACAATTTACCAATAAAGAACCAGAAGAAGTATTCCAGAAGACATTTAAAACAACCTTTTTTTACATATGACATAATTACCAAGACAGACTACAATGCTCAGTGTTGCAATCACGTACCAAAGTCCGGGTCTGCAGCTTTGATAGCTGTAATACAGCCTTCTATTCCTCCCAGTGTCTCATCATTACGCCAGGTCACATACTGATTAACAAAGACAGTAACATTTAGGTTAGTTATATGCAGAAGAAAAAAAAAAAACATAGTTATCAAAATCAATGTATAGATGTGTGTACCTGAGACAGTATAGCATCATATAGTTTACAGGCATCATTGCTGCTAGTGGACAGCATCAGACCCTCTGATTCCCATGCCTAACACATGCACACATGCACACCAGAGGAGTGGAGTGTTACTGAGATTTGATGGACAAGTAAGATTGCTTGAATTCGTTTTGTGCCACCAAATGCCATATTCAATACAATATATAATGGAATATACTGCGTAGAACATTAGATCAATTGCATCAATTTACTATTGTAAACAAGGAGAATTGAATCTTGTTATTTAATAGAAACTGCCGACAAAGCGCAAACTGAAGCCTATTTTCAATGTCAATGCAGTTCTTACAGCATGCTGTTGTTTTGCTCTACTAGGTGTTGTTAAAGTAGCGATTGTATACAAACTTTTGTCCTGTCTGTAACGTGAAATGCATGTGATATAACATTTCGTTCTACTGTTGAGTTGTTTAATGAAGCAAACCCAAATACTAAACCGTAATCCCCAGGTCAAAAGGTTTACACTTTTAGACATTTCTCAAGATAGATTTGCAGCTGACCATAGCGTTTTTTATCTCGAGAACCCGATAAAAAGTTAACTCGAGAAACCCTAAAGGCCTGTATGCACTATATTGAAAACAATTTTCTAACTTACCTTGCAATCTCTGAAACTAGCGGCGTTCATTCTCACAGGCGGCAACTTAGTATCTAACAAGTAACAACAAGTGATGACGATTCAGCGACCTTTGGAGTCGGATCTTATGATGTATCGATTGAACCGGTTCACTAAACCAGTTTGAATGATTTGTTGACAAATTGTTTCTTGTTTAACTTAATTAAATAAATAAATGATTTATTGAATAAGAGCCCTTTTTCGAACGCGCCCGACTCGCATTGTTATCAATATTTTTAGCCAAGTGACGCATTGTTCTATAGATTCTAAATCGCATTTAACAGCGACAAAATGAAACGGGGCATACTCAATAACAAAACCCTTTACTAATTACATTATCGATAAGGTTTTAATCGAACATTTAGAACGACATACCATGATGTCAAAAAATACGTGATGACGTACAAGAACGCAGTGAATAATTTTTTGAACCAGCTCATTAAAACGAACGGTTCATATGAACCGATTCACAGAAATGAGTCTTTCCCACCACCATTGTGGTCTGAAAAGTAAAAGTAAACTGTTTACATTGTGGAGTCAGTGCAAAAGTCGAAAGTGGGTTGTTGTGTTGCACAAAACTATAGAACATATGGCCATTCCCAGAATTTACTACAGTTTCCCTTTTATATGCATTTTTTAAATCTGAAGATAATTGAAGAGTTCAGATGCAAAAGCCTCTAAATGCCATTTGAAATTTTCTTCTAGAATGATCATTTTTATCAAGTTTGTATATTTAAGTTAAGTGATTTCACTTAAATGGCAATGATAATTACCTATTAATTGTTATTTAAGTGAAATTACTAAACTTAAATATACAAGATTGATAAAAATCATCATTAAAGAAGAAAATTTCAAATGGCATTTAGAGGCTTTTGCATCTGAACTCTTCAATTGCTTAATTCATTTTAAAAGATTTGCATAAAGGATTGGTTGATCCTAAAGCAAATTGCAGTACTTGTAAAGTAGTAAATTAATGAAGGTAAAGTTAAGTAAAACACAGGCTAAAAATGCAATGCTTTAAAGATGAATAAATAGTTAATTACTGTGGTATTTTTTTTCTTTCATCCTATGCAAATATATGCAATAAACAATAATAAATCAATCAATAATGTGAAGATGAGAAAAAATAATAATATGCAAACATCACATAATGGGTTAGATCAGATACATAATGGGATAGAAAGCTGGCCAACAGTAAAGTGAAATGCTACATGTCTTGAATAAATCCTGCATATGAAGTGAAGTTGAATTAATTACAACTTCCAAAAGAGCGTAAAATTGTAAACCCATTGTAATAAATGAAAAAAAAAAAAAAAAAAAAAAAAACTGAAATTAATGAGTCTTCTTTTTTAACAACTGCATTGTTTATTGCCTCTGCATACATTCAACACTCTATATGCAAATTAGCAACATAAAGCATTTTCAAGACCCAACATATTTTTTAAAAATTAGGATTGATTTACTTTACAATACTTTACATTTTTCACACGTTAATAAATACCATAAAATCTGTCAAACATTTTACAGTCTAACTATTGTTGACCATGTGTTTTCATTCACAGTTATCTGTACTTACAAGTCAAACAAACAAAAAGAAACAACATCTGTGCCCATCTATACAGCTTAACAGTGATTAAAATGAAATGTACACTTACTGAGAAAAAGGCATGGTCATTTGCAATAACGATGTTTCCTGTTCCAAATCGAGCATGACTACGAGCCCCTGCAGTTAATAAGCACTGGTGTCGGTCGACAGTGCTGAAACGTTTTCATGTGATATAATTTTAAAGACAATTATAAATAAAACACTCTGAAAACATAAGTAAACTCCGTGGATGTGAGGAGCCTTTGCATGAAAAGTTAAAAAAAGGCATGTTGCTCCAAACCTGGAGAAAGTGGAAAATACAACACCAAACCTTGGTGCCTGAGAATTAAATGTGAATATGGGCACAAACTCATTTGATCTGATTTGATAACTGTTCCAAAAACCACTGACCAACCAACAAAATGCATAATGCATTTGATTGTATATCAATGCATATTATGTGTATATGTATTCTTATGAACTATCTGCATTGAGGAAGTTTATATACTAATATATACTCCACTGCTTTATGTAAACTATAGTACAAGTATCAGATATTTATGGCTGATAAATGATTGTAAACGGTTTGTAGGATATATGTTTAGTAACGCCACTCAAGACAAATGGAAACCAACATCAGTGAAGTATGTGACAAAGAAATTTTCGCTCCCAGCGTACACCAATATCCATAATATCAGGTGGCTACTGACGAATTTGAAAATTGTACAATTGTCAATGCTACAAACACAACATGTGCTGGTCACTGAGGGTGTGTGACAATTACAGAAGTCCATCACATGCTTATCTGTGAACCGCACAAGACTGCATTCATCTGTTGAATGGAGGTCTGATGCTTATAGTGTTGTATTAAACAGGAGAGGAGTGCGATTGCAAAGAAAAAGCTGAATTTTTCCAGTCAGTAGTCAAGGTAGAAAATGCATTATAGGAAATCAAGTCCAAACACCTGTCGTCGCTGAAAACGTAACAGTTGATTGACCAGATATTCTAGGAAAAACAAGACTGGCTTTATGTAGGATCATTAGTCTCAAGACTTCCTCAACATCAGCAGGATAGATATGTCACCTTTCAAGATCAAAATAATAAAACAAAATTGTCTCCATTCTCTCGTTCTGACTGAGAGAACGTCTTGGATGGAACCAATGCCTTGGCTGCCGAGGGACAAAACGCCCTGAGTTGTGCCAGGAGAACTCGTAAACAACATCATCGTGCTCGTGAGTGGATTTGTAAACGTTGTGTTGACATGCCCAAAAAAACGAGGGGGGAGACAGACCGAATCTTTGTGCAATTTTTTACATTCCCTGCGGTGGAACTGGGAAACGCTGGCGGTCAGAACCATGTCATCGTTGTTATGCTAAGCCCAGTTGAGGCTGAATCCCTTGGAGAGCATCACAGACTCCAGGTCTTTATCCTCCTCTTTCTCCCTAAGTCTCTGTTCCTCCAACAGGGCCACCAGAGAATCCCTTTGCTCAACGACCTCTAACATCTCATTGAGAATCTGCTTCTCCTCCGCCAGCTCTTCCTCGGTCTTCAGATGGTCTGTAGAGGGTGAAACAATGATTTAAGTTCATTTAAAAATAACACCACCCTACATCAAATTTGCTGAGTGAAATCCAATACTTATTACTAACTAAGGCTATGTTTACACGGAAACGATTCTGAAGAGAAAACGCAAAAGTGGCGTTGCGTTATCACTTTTTATTCTGCGTTTAGACAAGCGTTTTGGGTGGGAAATCCGTGTGCACATGGTGACGCAAGAGTGTGTAGTATGCACTCCAGGCGGCTAGGAGTGCATACTACAACAACACCAAGTCCGCGCGCCTGTGTACAACCTTCACTGCCAAGCAGAATTTTGCGTTTTTACCCTTTACACGGGAACGCGGCGGTGGAGCGTTTTTAAGATTTCCACTCTGGAGGGTGGTTTCACTTTTTTGCGTCTTTAAGCCCCAAAAACGCTGTCACCGTGTAAACGAAAGGCACATCCGATAAAATATTTTTACGTTTTCACCCGCGAGCGTTCTTGCGTAAACAGGGCCTAATTTTTGTGAGCTGATTCCAAAAATAGTATATTTTGCTCTAGTACGCCACACATTTTTACAAATTATGTGCATATAGCATTGCTATTTTCAACAACTATTTGTAAAAGCCCCGATATACTTCAAGCGAAATCGAAGAACGAACTGATGGGACGTAATTTCGAACACAATCAGGCCAAAACTAACCTTTCCGGAAAAGTTTTGATTAAGCAATCTTGATTAAGCAAACTATTGTATAAAATGCTATATATTATTTTGCTACCGAGAGGAAAGCGTGGATGGACAGTCTAATTTTTTCGAGCCGGAATATACTGACAAAGAGCTACAGGAGCTCCGTGAAAGGGCTACAAGAGAGACAAAGAGAGAGAGAGAGCTACCGGTGGTCAATGCCGCAACACAGCCTCGTACTTCAGGAAAGTGGTAGTGTACCTGCGGACATTGTGAAGCTATGAACACTGAACAGGAGTGCCTGTGTTGCACAGAGCGGGACCTGTTGAGTCGCAACAACCAAGAGATGCATTGTTCTGTACAGTCTGAAGATTTCCCCACTCTGATAAACAAGGCTGTACTTGAAATTTTTCTATTTCCTGAAAATAAATTGGACTGTTTTCCAAAGATGGCTCCTGCCTCTATACGCAAAGTGTACCGTCTTTATAAAATGTCTTATTATTAAACTGTCTCTACACTTACAAGATTTTCAATGCTTTGGTTTGCATGTAGGGATGCTCCTTATTATGCTACTGTGTTAGTGTGGGGCTAATTTTATTTTTACTCTATGCCCTATAAACTAGTGTTATAAGCGAAACAGTTTTTAGAGAGATTCGATTCTCATGAAAACAAATCTCAGAGTACGGTTTACTAGGTACCAATGTGTTATTAGACCAAAGGTTGTTGACCAAAGGAGTTGGAGTCTTATATCATCCAGTAAATCACCAGAAAAACTGCTACGAATGCATGATTCCCATCTTGGTCTAAGCCAGGTCACAACTATTTGTTCAATACTCAGCTGATTATCATATATATTAGCCTGACTACGTCAGACTTCCTACTTTCGCTAATTTCATTTCGCAGTCTGAGATAGCAGCCTATCTTTCAGTTTTCCAGCGGCCTTCGGACGGCCGGCCAATCAACGAACAGAGGGCGGGCTGAGAGCCGTGACGTGGACTCTAAGCGCCAAGTTTTACATTGTAGGTTAGAGAAATCGAATGGAAAACGAGACAAGGGATTCAATTCGCTCTGTTATGGAGAACATTCCAGGGGGGTTCAAACTTAAGCCAGAACAAGAAGAGTGTTTGATAAACCTTTTAAATGGAGGTGATGTTGTGGCCCTACTCCCGACTGGTTTTGGGTTTAATTTATCAATCGTTACTGTTAGTTACGTCTGTCTACGAAGCAAAGTGAAGTAGCAGAGTCAGGTATTACCAGGCTAGAGGAAAAAAGAGCTGTGTTTTAAAGATCTAATCTTAAATTTGAGAGTTGGTAACAAATATTTTCTTGTTTCACTCTGGCAAAAATAACTTTAGAGGCCATCATTGTACCATGGATGCGTAGATTAACTTCACATAATCTGCAAAAGTTGTTTACAGCCATGTTCACTCTGGTATTTCGCTCGCATCATCAAGTGTTTACAGCAGGTTTAGGGTGGAAGTTCGATCATAGATTTGAGTTCGATGCATGATGTCTGTGGTTCAATGCGGCTGTGTCGGCGCATAACATGCGTCATAAATCATTTATCTTATCTGATTAGCTTACGGGTAACCAATGATTTTAAACTTCAGACAAGCGCCCCCTAGCGAGAGAAAAAACACTTCGCTATTATGCCATTCCAGACTCTGTCTACGAAGCAAAGTGAAGTAGCAGAGTCTGGAATTACCAGGCTAAATATATTAGGTCTATACTTGAGAGCAAAGTACCATCTACTGCCATGCGTTCTCGTAGTTCCTGTTGTAGTCGACTCTGTCTGTCTTCCAACTCCAGCTCACGAGCACTGCAGAGAGAAAGGATGGAGTAGAATTAAATGTGAGATGAGGGCAATGGCTGTTAAGCTATAGAGTTTTTATAAGGTACTTTGAAAAATCTTTGATGTTCAAAGATATTGGATTCTTTGATGCCCCACAAGGACAACAAGACACCATCTGCCATTAAAGCACCATAATGTCCACACAAACACAAGGATTTAGATGAGCAGATGCGCATTTAAGCAGAGTACTTTGAGAAGAACATGCGAAAGTTAAAATCATTTAATAACCTTTTATTTGGACGATGAGTTGTTTCTGGTATTAAACTTATTACTATGTTATTAAAATACTGGCCAGTAATTATATTCATATTATGGTTGCTAAATTGGAAATTCTACAAGTGTATGCTAGTTTGCCTAAACAAATGAAAAGTAATACATCAATTTTAAATCAAACGATTTAAATTCTACACATTAAATCAGGCATCACAAATTATAGTGTACAGAATAAAAAAAAAGTATATTCTTTCTGAGATTTGCTAAAAATACATTTAACAGAGTTTATAAATTAATAGTGTATTATTAATGATTAACTGAAATACACACACACGCATATATATATATATATACACATATTCCTAAAGGATTATTAGGAATACCATACTAATACAGTGTTTGACACCCTTTCACCTTCAGAACTGCCTTAATTCTACGTGGAATTGATTCAACAAGGTGCTGAAAGCATTCTTTAGAAATGTGGGCCCATTTTGATAGGATAGCATCTTGCAGTTGTTGGAGATTTGTGGGATGCCCAATTGGCACTACGGGGCCAAAAGTGTGTCAAGAAAACATCCAATGCATGTCAATGCATGATCATTGTTCTCATTCTGTTTCCGCCAAATTCTGACTCTACCATCTGAATGTCTCAACAGAAATCAAGACTCATCAGACCAGGCAACATTTTTCCAGTCTTCAACTGTCCAATTTTGGTGAGCTCTTGCAAATTGTCGCCTCTTTCTCCTACTTGAAGTGGAGATGAGTGGTACCTGGTGGGGTCTTCTACTGTTGTAGCCCATCCGCCTCAAGGTTGTGCATGTTGTGCATACCTCTGTTGTAACGAACGAGTGGTTATTTCATTCAAAGTTGCTCTTCTATCAACTTGAATCAGTCGGCCCATTCTCCTCTGACCTCAAGCATCAACAAGGCATTTTCGCCCACAGGACTGCCGCATACTGGATGTTTTTCCCCTTTCACACCATTCTTTGTAAATCCTAGAAATGGTTGTGCGTGAAAATCCCAGTAACTGAGCAGATTGTGAAATACTCAGACCGGCCCGTCTGGCAAAACCATGCCACGCTCAAAATTGCTTAAATCACCTTTCTTTCCCATTCAGACATTCAGTTTGGAGTTCAGTAGATTGTCTTGACCAGGACCACACCCCTAAATTCATTGAAGCAACTGCCATGTGATTGGTTGATTAGATAATTGCATTAATGAGAAATTGAACAGATATTCCAAATAATCCTTTAGGTGAGTGTGTGTGTATATACTGTATATATATATATATATATATACACACACAAACACACACACATACACATACATACATACACAATACTAACCTGTGACAAATGCGATACAGCCTAAAACTGCAAAACTATTAAGACCCTCTTCTAATGGAGAACCAACAAACTGTTTTTTGTTTTTTTTTCTTGATCAAGATATGTAAAGATATGTAATTGCACCTTGTGTTCACACAGATGTAAATAGAACAAAACAGAATGTAATAAAAGCACCGGGCAAAATCTTTCAGCACAATGCCGTTGCCTACAGCATATCTGCCTGTCAGAGATCATCAGTTGATCTAGTTTAGAAAGGTATTTGTTCCTTTTGTACAACGTATAAAAACATCCAGACTCTAGACAATAAACTTCAATATGCTAATTTTACATTTGAAAACAATAAGATTTCCATTCATTAACATGTAAGTTTTTATTTTTATATTGTATCTTTATTGTTTTAATAAACATAAGCTCTAATATATTTTAAACAGACAAAAGTTTACATGGTAACTTGAGCATTAACTTTTGCCATCTACAGAGGTTTGCATGAAACATAAGCAACAGGACTGAAGCTTAAATCTGAGTGTCTACTCACAATATCATCAGCTCCGATTCATAGCGCACCAAGGCATTCTTCTCCTGGACCAGTTTAAACCATTCCTGCATCAGCTTTGGATCGTCCTTTTTACCCATTCCTGTAAGAAGCACATTGGAGAAGCATGAGGAACCTGGCAGTTAACCACCCACTGACACACAGACCTGACACAGACACCCACACAGCAAATGCGATGACAGCCAAGCCAGGATGTCTTTTTCAGGGCAAGAGTAGGGTGGGAATGTGGAAGACCATGATGAGGTCGAGGCTGCCGGGGTTCACAGAGGATGGCGTGGAGGTGCGACTTCTGATTGGACATTTCATGATCAATACTGATCAGACAGGACTTCTGAGGCATTTGGTCTTTTTCAAGGCAGTGGATTTACTTCAAACTTTAAAACCTTTTTTTTTTTTTTTTCAGGACTATCTTTTTTAAAGTAATAATGCAAGGCAATGTCAAAGTTATATGTAATAAAAAAAAAAAAAAAAAAAAAAAAGAGTGAACATCTAAATCCATCTTAACTTTACCTTTGTGGGTCCGTAGCTTGCTCCAAGGAGGTTTCCCCCCTAGAAGTTATCCAACTTTACACCATTTTAGCCCAATATCATGGCAATAAATAAGGCATATCATAAAGAAATGTTCCAGGTTTAATAAAAGTTTGGAATAGAGTTGGTGGTAAATTACCACAATAAATATTTTACTCTTCTTTCAAATTTCACATTATTCCAACAGTAAAATAAGGTCTGTATCTTTGTTTAAGAATTATACTAAGTATATATAACTATATACTACTGTAAAAAAAGTTTCGAGTAACTAAGTCTTTTTAAAAAAAGAAATTAATACTTTTATACAGCAAAAACTCAAGTGGGACCATAAAGAACACATCCATTGCAAGTGACTTGCCACAACCACATTTTTTGCATGTTATGAAAACAAAAAAGATCAACTCAAAATCATTTTTTGAGGGAAATAAATCGGCACTACGCAGCAAACGGCCGCTGATTAAGCTTGTATTGAACCTGGAACATTCCTTTAAAAAGTGCTCTGGGTCAGACCCATGACTCAATATTCTTTACGTGCACTGCAGTTACAGTAGACGTTAGACTGCATGAGGTTAAAGGAAAGCCTCATGGTATGCACTGAAGTCCATGATCAATGCAGAATACTGTCACCGACTGAATATGGGAACAACTGTGCATGTCTGCCCATGCTAGAAGTCCCAGATGTCTATGAATACCCCGTCTCCCATCCTTACACACACATAAACACACAAGTGAAGCCAAGCACTGAGATGAGCCATCGCATGGTTAACCTGGATGCAGCATGACGTACTTAGCTGACGGAGAGGCGGCTCTAGCAACATGAAAGGGGAAAAAAAGACAGTACACACATAAATCGAATGGCTGTGCTCGCGGTTGCTGGCCTTGGCTGTTTTAAACACACAGAGGCAAAGTAGAGGTCCTCAGACACAACAGTGAGAGACAGGGACAACAGAGGACAGGGAGGCTAAACTTATCCAGTGGGACGCACTGTGAGTGGCCTCCCCCACACTCAGCCCCATGCTTTCACAAGAGGAACAGAGAAAGAAGAACCACAATTAGAACAGTCGTATAACAACCACGCTAACGTCGTGCCGAAAGGGCACTGTTATACACAGGCATAGTTACACACACCAAATTAAAAACCGACAGACACACCACAATGTTGCCGAACATTTATTCTGTGCTACTGCATTTAAAGTCAACATGAAAGATGAAATCTCATTCGAAACCATTGTAATTCTATATTGTGATCTCAAGCAGAAACAATATTTATTGAGAAAAACGAATAACAAAATCATTAAAGGGTTAGTTCACCCAAAAATGAAAATTAAGTCATTAATTACTCACCCCCATGCTGTACCAACCCCGTAAGACCTTCGTTCGTCTTCGGAACACAAATGAAGATATTTTTGATTAAATTTGAGAGCTGTATAACTACCACATTGGCTCCTAAGGGACTGCCTCTTGACGGCCCAAAAAGTCAATGAAGAAAATGTTTAAATATCCCAAGTGACTACCGTGGCTCAACTATATGTTTATCAAGCGACGCGAATACTTTTTGTGCGAAAAAACAAACAAAAATAACGAGTTTATTCGACTATTTCTTTTCTTCCTTGTAGGCCAGAACGAGAATTCCTTAGATTTCCACGACGCATGCGCGAGATTTGCGATCTGCTCACACCAGCCTTCACTACTTCAGATCGCAATTCTCGCGCATGCGTCGTGGAAATCTATAAGGAAGTCTCGTTCTGGCCTACAAGGAAGAAAAGAAATAGTCGAATAAACTCGTTATTTTTGTTTGTTTTTTCGCACAAAAAGTATTCGCGTCGCTTGATAAACATATAGTTGAGCCACGGTAGTCACTTGGGATATTTAAACATTTTCTTCATTGACTTTTTGGGCCGTCAAGAGGCAGTCCCTTAGGAGCCAATGTGGTAGTTATACAGCTCTCAAATTTAATCAAAAATATCTTCATTTGTGTTCCGAAGACGAACGAAGGTCTTACGGGGTTGGTACAGCATGGGGGTGAGTAATTAATGACTTAATTTTCATTTTTGGGTGAACTAACCCTTTAAGTCGCATACAGTAAATCATAGTTTTAATTAAGTATATAGTATAAATGAAATATAATATGATTATTGCTACTACTACTACTACTACTACTATCATGTTAACCAGCAATCCTAAAAAAGTAACGTGTTTAATAAAAGCATTAACTGATGTCAAGGTGTTTTTTTTTCCCCCAACATAGTGGCCTCTATCATGCTATACGAAAAAGAAAAAAAAAAAACGTACATTTTAATTACACTTTCTTGCTACACATTTTTAAAATCAAATTTAAGAGTTCTTCAATTTATACAGTACGCATATAAAGAACAAACTTACCAATTTCAAAATAAATTGTATTATTTAAACAGTACTCAGTACAACATACTAAATATATGAAGATAGAAAACACATGACATGCAACATCTTAAAACGTCTAACAGTGCTTAGTGAAAGTTCAGATATAACATGCATAACCGGATGTAATAAAATGACATGTCAAATAACCGTTTGAAATATTTAAATAGCCTACTGTTCAGAAGTAAAAAGTAGCACAGCCAGCTTTATTTACGGGGTTATGGTTGCATTTCTGCTGTTCCTTAAGCTCCATCTACTGTCAGAGAGTGAATATGCATTTTAATTCTGTGCTTCTCCTCCATGTTGGGCTTGTTTACATTAGAGAGTGGATACCTCTTTAATGTTGTAAAGAGTAAAAATTACTCTAAAAATGCATTCTGGTAAAAAAAAAAAAAAAATAGCTTTCATTCCCATAGGACCTCATTTAAATGTCTTGTGGCATAAATTGTTCAGCTTCATTGCGGTCGTAAACATCTCTTGAGTATTAAATTTGCACTCTCATTTTGCTCGAATTTGTCCGTTCTCTTCTCCCAAGTGACTCACCCCCCGTCTCATCTCTGGTAAATCGCATACTGTGACGTACTACATAAAAAAGACGTCTGTAACACTGGATAGGCTACTACCAAAGACTTGGTGCTACACAGGCTAAAAACATAATTTTCGATCAGATGGCCTTCAATTTTAATGCCTAGCAGAAAAAAAAATGCAAAATACTTTTTAACAGCCTTAAAATCAGGAGATTCTGATTTCACACTTGAATAATGTTCATAATAAGACCAGTAGTCTGCAATAAAATAAAAAAAATTACCGGTAAATTGATTTCATGTTGACTTTAAATTTGAGCATGATGGAATGACAAAGACATCAGAAAAAACGACCAATATTGGAGACCTCACTTTCCTGTTGTGTTCCCCTTACACATGCTATCCTTCACAGCAAATCATTAGTGTTATGGAAACTCATGGACACACAGTGAATATAGTCTATGGATTACCATGATACAGCTCTATAAAGGAGCTATGTGGTTGGGACACGTATTTGACAGTTTATTACTCGGTAAGCGCAAATGACAATCATGCTGTTATTTAAATTCACACAGTCAGCAGAGCAGTTTCCCCCAAAATACACACACTAATGACCTGGCATCATATCAGGTCGCCTCTAATGTACTACTTAGAAACGTATTTCATGCTATATTCTTTCTGTTCATAATGTCTAAAATAAGGCAAACAAAAGTAGAATTGTGATTAATAAAGGAAACCAAAAATGAAGCTTTAACTTCTGTAGATTCTGCTGAGGGCTGGGCGATATACCAAACATTTACCACATATATAGTATTTTTTTGTTGATCTAGATTTTTCTCTGTAATTAAAATGCAGATAGTGTGGTCTAATTTGATTCACTAACCCGAATCAGTTCTTTCAAACTGCCCGATTTAAAATGTAACGCATAATATTCACGAATTCCACACTAGAGGCTTAGTAACTACTAGCTAGTCCATAACTTTGTACTTTATTAGGTCTTAAGCTCTCCGTAAAGTAATGCATAGCATAGTCGTATAATATTATGTTACCTTCAATGATCCAATAGTAGCCTTCAAATACGTGAGCAGAAGTTGTGTTGCCATGTTTATCCTTCACGGTAAGTTTAAATTAAATATAATATTACTTTATCATGAATAACTTAAGTGGTTTTATATGTACATAACATTTGAAACTGAATCAATAATGATCAATAAATAAATACTGACAATATTTTGACATAAATTACATTTATTGATTATGTCTAATTTGATTTGACATGCACAACACAGAGTCGCACTATTAAGGATGGGTTCGGGATGAAGAGGCGCTAACAAATTAATATCACAATGTTCTCTCTTAAAATGTACGTGTAAATGTCAGCAATATCATGAGTCTAAAGAATTGATTATATATATGCGCAGAGTTACGCTTCAACTAAGTTTAATGGTGCAATGCGAAACTATTTAATGGTGCTTAAGTTGTAAATTAGTGCCAATTTACATGGTTTAGCCTAGGCTAAGTTGTAACTTACGCACAGCTGGTGCAACGGTCTCTGTTTATTATGTTGGTGCATATAAACAAAATGGAAATTTTACTTCTTGCTTCAATTTTGAATCTACTTGGCAACTATTGCTATTTGGTAAAACTGAAAAATATCGTCCAGCCCTACTACAGTTACAAATTTGTACATCAGAAGCATTGACGCAATCTGCTGGGGGAAACCCACTAAGCCTGGACACACACGGGCAGCGGGGAGAAGTAGACTTTGTAGTCGGAGGGCAAAAGCAATACTCCACAGGTCCAGTGGGTTGTCAAAGTAACGCCGCTGGCCATGTTGTTATGAAAACAGCTGGCCGGCGGCAAACATGACGGGGTTTACGTTACCTTTAGGGGCACAGCAGGGGCAGAGGTACAGGGCTCTTCGGCGAGGGGTCCCGACATAGGGTTCAACTTCCACAACACAGGAAAGGAATGAGAGAGAGAGAGAGAGAGAGAGAGAGAGAGAGAGGTGACCAGAAGAGTGAAGTCAAGAAAGAGGAGAGAAAGAAAGAGATGTGGAAGAGAAAAAAGTGAGGAGCGAAATCAAAAAGAGAAGGAACTCTGGGGAGAAACTAAAAGCAGCAGTGTGATGTGACATGGTGGGAGGAAATGACACAGGACAGAGCGCAAACATGAATGAACTGAGAAAGAGAGGTGAAATATTGCTTCTCTTTGAACTTTTCCTTTTGTGCACTACTGAGGGAAAATAAGTGGCGACTCAAAAGCAAACCAAATGTCTGCATAGGCTTCATCAAAGAGGTACAGTATGCAGCTGTTGGTCTCCTAAAAGTGGGTTCTATTTATTCAGAAAACTTGGATTTTAAGATCTAAGGTGGAATTATTATATCATTTTCGGAGATTGTTCAGGGTGTAAAATTCGCAATCCTCACACTACGTCTGATATGGAAATCAGCAATCTGTACGGCAGGTGTCAATCCAGCCACAAGAGGAAAAAGAGATCTAGACAACAACAAAAAAAAAAACCTCATATGAACTTGAGAAGAATGAAAGTAAGAAATCCCTTACTTGTGCCAGAGTAAAGGATTTCACCAATGATGCATGGGAGCAAATGAAAGGGCAGATACTTGTAAAATTCTTTGAGCTCTACCATGCCAGGGTGAATTGGATGACGGATGTTGGACAATTCACAACAAGGGACTATCACAAAGGAGTTTGTCAGCGCAATCCTTGAAAGCCAGACTGCGATCTTGTCTGCATTCAGAAGCAGGTAAATCTAACCAGCACTAATACAACCTTGTCTTATGTGAAGAATGAGGAGAGTTGCCTATTCTACATTCCTATCCTATTCCACTGTGTAAATAAACCGACATGTTTGTTTTTTTCAATGAAAAGATTTGTTTAAATCCAACATGCAATGACCACTCCTCTTAAACCTCATCTTGTATCACTGGCTTGTCCTCTGCAGTTATGGGAACTAATTATCCATGAAAAGCAACAAGCTTGCATTCTTATGCAGACATGCATGGTAACGACCCACGGGGAAACCAGACCATAAACAAACGCACACTGATGCAAAGTTACACAGAAACCTAAAACGGCTTTCTGAAGTTTTTAATTAGTTACAAAAATGGGGACAACTGTATTGTTTTGGAAATGACGACCAAGTGTTCCAGCCAAGGACTCAGAAAGCGGACCGTAATTATGCAAAATGTGTTTGATCTAGGATTACGAGAAATCCACCAACTGTTAGCAGGTCTGCCAACAACTAGATTGTGATGAGAAAAACTCGTTTTTGCAGGACAATCAATCCAACTGCACAGCTCACATGTTTGCTACTTAATCTCGGTGCAACTGTTAATAAAACTAAATGTAGCCACAAGCAGCAAGTATGGGGTTGCAGCATTACAATTCCAAAACAGAAATCTAACGAACTTTAGCAAGTTTAATTCGTTTTTGGATTTCAAATGCTTTTTCATCATCTTGAGCCAGTTTCCCAGAACATTTATAAAATGTGGATATGTTGTACTTACCTTAGTTTCCTAATTAAACGAGTAAGCTGTATGGTGAATCAACATGACATCATGACTTTTACGTAAACATACACGCCACTTTCAAGTCAAGTGGCGTGTTATCTATACGCATTTTGAGATATCCGCGTGTATTTCTACGCCATTAATGTCCGCGCCGTTAAATGTCTGAGCGAAACAAAATGTAGATCTACATCTGTGGAGCGATGGTAAGTGAACACTCATAAATGCTATTAACCCCAGTGACAGGTAGGTTTAGGGAAGGGGTTGGGGTAGGTCAAATATTTATATATACAGTAATAACGTTAAGTCAACGGCGTTCATAAACACGCTGAAAAGCGATTATGAGTGTTGATAGAACGCCAAAAATGGAAATACGAATTGGCGTGTCATACATAAGCAATTTCATGAGATCAGTCTGGGTGAATAAGTAACGGCTGTAAGGGCGTTGTTAGGCACGACACGAAGCGTGCTTCCTGCAACTCCCTTTCAGCCGTTACTTATTCACGATACAGCACTTGCCTCAAGTACCTTATTGCTTTTATAAAACGGTTACCACACAATAAAAATATTAAAGTAAAAATATATATTTAGTGCATCGTTCATGAAGTAAAATCACTAAAAGCCTTCTGCTTTCGCTAGAAAAAATAGTCCCTGACCGTGGCATGAACAGCAACAACTTCCAATGTGTAATATGCATGAAAGCTAAAATAAAAACAACATAGGAACTGCAGTGTTGCACAGTGATAAATAGAACCATTGGGTGAAGCGGTCATAGCCATGTTTTATCATGAATAATGCACAGCTACAGAATCAAGGATTGGAACTAACCATTTTATAATTGTTGATAAACATTGTTAGCAGTGTTGTAGTACTCGAGACTCGGACTCGTCTCGGACTCGGTCTCGAGACCATATTTTAATGGTCTTGGTCTTGTCATGGACTCGTGTCCATTTGGACTCGGAATTGACTCGTACTCGAACATTTTTTTTTTTAGGACTCGGAATTATTCCCGAGTCCACTCGAGTTCAATTAAAAATATTTTTCATGATTATTAATGTATGTGAATAAAATATTTCTTTAAATTGATTGACACGCCCAGTGATTGGTGATTTTCTAGTGCGCAACTGCGCATGACAAATTGTAATAAAATTACTTTTAACACCACCTACTATGTGTCCTTTTTACCCTAAACTGATCATATTTTTTAAACTCTAAGTAAATTCAGTAAAAAAAAAAAAAAAGGATTTCTCTAAGTAAATAAAAGTAAACTGAGTAATCAACCCTCACTGGTCTCGGTCTCGACTCGGACTCGACCGTCTCTGGTCTCGGACTCGACTCGGACTCGACTCTCTATGGACTCGGTCTTGACTCGGACTCGACTCTCTCTGGTCTCGATGTCGACTCGGACTCGAGTGAGGTGGTCTCGACTACAACACTGATTGTTAGCATATGTAAAGACCCATAACCCAACATCTAAAATAATAAGATGCCTTTCAAGAACTTATTGTCATGCTATGTTTAAGAAACACCTTGTTGCATTGAAAAAGATTCATAAGATGGTTAAACAATGCCTCAATGTCCTTTGAAAACAATGAGTAATTTATTCACCATAACCACGCTATCTCCTGCCTGCGTGTGTGATTTCAGCATGGCTTGCCTGTAACTTCACAGTGTGATCAATGAAACGCAAGACAATACACTCATTCAAACAAGCACAGAATAGATCCACAATGTAAGATGTAAGGTTTGGGAATACAGTGAAGACGCACCACACATGATGGAATCAATCGCAATGAGCTACGAACACTGGGATGTTTTCAGGGTCCGGGCCCCCTTATGCAACTGAGCAGGTATGGGAAGGAAATATGAAAACTACTTGGCAAGTAAAGCAGACAGGGATCGGCTATGCAAAAGGCTAGAGGGGAGGGGCTTAATCAGGATTTTAAGCTAGCTACTTCTATCTGTTTGATTAAGCATTTTGGATTGGTTCTGTTACACATTAGTGGAACATTTTTAGTTTGCAAACTAAGATCGAAACTGAAAGCAAATTGAATGCCAATTTAATGGGGGAAAAAATTGTGTTTTGTTTGACTCAGATTTGAATAATACCCAAATATATTAATTATTATATAAAATGTTCATGTTTACAATGTATTGGTATATTTAAATAAAAATGAAATGATCCTTAAAGAAATTAATCATGAAATATTAAAAAATGCATGTAATATTTATATAAAATACAGGACATAAAATACAAAATACTACTTACAAGAATAGACATTTTCATAAGGGCTGTGCAAATATTAATTGCGATTAATCGCATCCAAAATAAAAGTTTGTGTTTACATAATATATGTGTGTGTGCTTTGTATAATTATTTTGTAAATATAAATACATATGCATGCATGTATACATTTAAGAATTATTTGCAAGTAAATACTATAAATATTTCATATATGAATAACTCATTTTCTTAAATATATACATGCGTGTGTGTATTTATATATACAAAATAATTATACACAGCACAAAAAATATATATTATGTATACACAAACTTTTATTTTGGCTGCGATTAATCGTTATATATAATTAATATTAGAAATTTCAGGGGCAAATGTGAGAGATTTTTAGGCGGAAGGGGGTAAATAAGAGAAGACAGAGGTCAGTAAGTACAGGGGGAAAAGAGAGGGCGTTAGTTGTTAGTCCATTTCAAGCAACAGATTTGAAATACATACCGCCCAGATGCAAATCCAGGATCTCACTGTAATTAGACTCTCCCCAATAGTCTACAATAAGGATATATTAGAAACATGTTACTGCACACACAGGCACAGCCAGTAGCTTCAAGTCATGCATATGTTGGACACGAACACACACGCAGCAAGGTATGCTGAATATACATTTACCACAACTTGTTATTTGGCATGTAAACAAATGTAGTTAATTGATTTTTATATCGCAAGTCCCGCAATGGTAAATGGGCACATAGATTTGTTGCACCGCTGCGTTCCGCCACAAGGGCAGCATATACTCCGGAGTGCGAGCATGTTTTCGCCTCTAAAACAGCAGGTTTTTTTTTTTTTTATTATTATTATTCCTGCCAGAGTCATTGGTAACACCATTTTGATGTTCATAAGCCATACACATTGTCTGTAGTATAAAGGGTTAAAATGCTTGAATATGTTTTTCTCCCTCATATGACTTGTTACACTATTTTGATGGTCTACTTTAGATTTTCTACTAACTATAAGTAACTTTGTAAATATGTCAACTTATTCTACAAACCCGAACCCAACACCTAACTGTCTACCAATACTCTAATAAGAGTTAGTTGACATCTAGTTGACGTCTAGTTTACTTGTATTACTTGTAGAATATCTGGTAACACTTTACTTGAAGGGGTGTGCGTAAGACTGGCATGACACCTTAATAACCATGACATGACATACAGTATGTCATTAATATGAAATAGGGTTTATGCATGTTTGACAACTGTCATTAAGTGTCTTTCGCTCAATAATGACATTTGGAATGCAAATATGACATTGTTTAAGATGTCTTGGTAATGACATCTTGACAAACCATAACCTGTCAGTGTCTTTGTCATGACAACTTGACATAAAATTAAGTTTAACTGTCATGTGGTTGGTTTTGACATTTGCTGTCATGAGGCCATTATAACTTTGGCATAAATATTTTTTGGGACCTCAACTACAGTGGTACACACTGAATTTGTCATTAATGTTATAATGGCTTCATGACAGCCAATGTCAAAACCAACCACCTAACAATTTAATGTAATGTTAACCAATAAAGCTAGGTGGTTTCTTAAGTTTGATCATTAATCTGCTATGTCATGTTTATGACAGGATGTGTTGTCTTAGTAATGTCAAGTTGTCATGACAAAGACACTGACAGGTTATGATGTATTGGTTTGTCAAGTTGTCATAAACAACACATCTCAAACAATGTCATATTTGCATTAAAAATATCATAACTGAGCGAATGACACTTAATGACAGTTGTCATAAACATGCATAAAACATCCTTCAACATATGTCGTCATGATTATGAAGGTGTCATGTTAGTCTTCTACACAGCCCCTCAAGTAAAGTGTTACAAAATGTCTAAAGTAGAATATAGAGTAATCTGTATGTTATTCAATGCATCTCGAGCATTTTAACCCTTTATACTGTGATCCTTTGTTACGCTGAACAACAAAACATGAATAAAAAGCATTTCGAAGACAATTTACAAGAAAATGTGTTTTAAGTTTGACAAAATGGAACAGAATAGATTCAAAATTGAAGAAATAGCTTATAATACGGTTACATTCTCCATCATTTATAGTGGATTGCATCCAGTGAAGTGGCACACAAATCTATGCTTAGCGTGATCGGATTGACTGGGCATGCAATTGAGACACTCATGAGGAGAGAGCAGGAGAGACAATGCTCGGCATGAGGATGGCATGATACGCTGGGATGACTACAACACCTACTAGAGTTATCACAATGGATACCTGAGCGTCTCTTACGCTGTTTTGGACTAACACTAGAACCTTTATACAACCCTTAGAGAGAGTAAAGGATAAAAAGAGATTAAGAAACACTAGAGATAAAAGATGGAATGGAGCAGGAGAGAGAGGAAACAATAATTGCAATGCAAATTCATATATTTTTTTTCTACTGCCTGTAACTACCCTACTGTTCACAAACCATACTTTTCGTACAATTTAATTTGTTGCATCTTGATTTACTTGAAATTATTAACATAATTTGTTCACATTTTGCAAAGGTAAACAATTATCTTTGAATCCAATAATGAAAAAGATTCTAGCAATTAATGTAGCTGTTACTGCAGAAAATATTGAATGGAAAGTATGACAGGGCCTTGTCATGTGTAAATCAATGCAGAAAACACAAAAATTAATTCTGCAATATCTATATTTGATATGTTAGAAGATGATTTGATATGGCTTTTCAAGTGAATACGTTTAAAAAAAAATAATAATAATAATTTAAAAAAGACAGCTGGGGCAGATTTCCATTTGTATGTCAGTGCAAATACTTGGAATTGACAGATTTATTTATTTTTTATGTAAAAATGTGTCCAAGAAGGCAAAAATAAAATAAATAAAATGTTTGCAGCTGGAGAGCTCAAAAGCAATATTGGCGAATAAATAATTTAGAGCCGAGCATGACTAGGGGAAAAAAATGATATTCACTACAAAAATGTGCGACTCTTTCAAGGTTTTATTATTTATCAAGGCCTATTTCAAGGCTGGAAATAATTACAATTGTAAAATTCCCTGATATTTCCAGGTTTTCCATAATTACAGGAACCCTGAATGAAATGCTAATGTTATAAGCCTGACAGAATGAAATAAATTTAGTAATGACATACAGTACAAGCTGCTAGCAAGGTTTGTATAAATAAGCGGATCCTGTGCATCAGAATACTAACCCAAGTTCACGAAATGACTTTTAATCAAAAGGCAAAAGATGCATAAACACAATTTCACTTTTAATTTCTGCACTGTAGTTTGAAGTTTGAAGCTAGAAATAACAGCAAGCAGCGCTCTGACAAAGGTCAAAGAATAGCTACATAGAATAGCATGAGTTATGAAGATCTGCTCCAAGGATTTAACCCTTCAACAGAGCATCTGAGGAACCATTTTGATCAAAAAAAAAAAAAAAAAAAAGTGAGACAAAAGAGAGAAATACCTGCTTCCCCTCGCAGCGCCTTTTCCACCGCGACACCTCTCTCCTCTAACTGCCTCTGTTTCTCTTCCACCTGCTCCAGTTGCCTCTGAATGATCTGGGGAATAAAAAAGTAGCTTCTGGTTGACTTCACACTCTATTATTCTGCATGATAATTGTTGAAATTCAACTTTTTGAAAAAAATAAAATAAATCATTAATATGCTTTCACCTGGGCTCTGTGGAGCCTCTTGAGCTCCTCTTGCTTGGCCTGCCTCCGTGCAGCTTTTTGTACTCTTCTTGTCAGCTTGGCGTTGAGTTCCTCCTCAGTGTACGTCTTCTGCAAACGGGAATTAAAAAGTCAGAACATGCGCTCCTGTAACCTGTATCCAGGTCAGTTGAAGGCGGATCCTTGTCTGGTGTCTCATGGACGTCTATGGCAGGAGTTTGTGTAATATATTACAACAGCAGAATCTAAAACAGCAAAATGTCAAAGCTAATCCACTACTAGGCTGAAATACTTCTGACTTTCAATTCTAAAGCACCTCTATATGCAATTTTGGCAACATAATCAAAAGTTTATACCACAGTACAAGTAACTTTTTATCACAGTATTGGTACTGTATATACCTCAATAAATATCACAATATAGTTTTTTTGCTGTAAATAAACGAATAAATGACATGTATATCATAACGCACATTTGTTTTGTAAATTCAGTGAATTAAATAAATATATTAAGTATATAATTACGACCATAATCAAATTATGGGTAAAAAAATACTAAAAATTACAAAACAGAGTTGACTCAAGCTCTAAAATAGCAAACTAGATAGATTTGATAGTCAAGATATAGCTAGACTTGATTTGTTACACAAATGCATCATTTACAAAACATAAAGTACCAGGACTAATGTCACAACCTCTTGTTGTCTGTGCACAGAGCCAATGAGTAAGATAGAACAAAGTGTAAGATAGACGGAGACCAAAAAACAAACAAACAGTGACTCTGGAGATGGTTCATGAAAGTCAGGTAAAAGCTATGAAATGAGAAAAACGAGTTGCATATGAACCATTACATAGTACAGGAACATAGTGTAGACAACGTTATGCTGAAAACAGCCAGAAAGCCTTTTGAGAATGTCATGTGATGCAGTTACATCCTCCAGCAGAAAGGGGGTGCTTTAGCCTTCACCATGCTGCAGAAAACGGTTAGTAATAAAATAAAGCAATATCTGGACCAACAATAACAGACAGGGGTTAGGCATGACGGTGTGATACAACATGCGTAGACCAATGGGAATGAATGAACACACTACCTTTGTGGCATACGATCTCTTGAACGCCAATGCATGAGGTACATAAACAGACTTAGAAAAATAAATTGGAAAACAAACAAAACAAAAAAAATATGCGATTAGATGGGTTAATGTACAATTAAATCAAATCAGGATTCTACGACGACACACCAACACAAACATTTAAGGACATTGGGATGAGTGCATAAGTACAAATTAATGTGATTGTGTTTTGTGCAACACAATTAAACTCTGGGTCCAAAATTAACATTTACCAGCCAAGATTTTTTTCCACAACCTCATGTGGCAACCCAGACAGTATGAATATTCATCACATTAATCAACAAAACTGGTAAAAAATGGCACGCCAATATCTATGGCCAAACAATTTTACATTGGCAGGTGTGGTAAAAAGTTAATTTTGGACCTTTTGGACTACAAGATTACTCTAAAAGATTTGCTAGAGGGTAGGAGCACATACACAACTACCCCCTCCCCAATAATAATTTGGACAAACAGAATAGTTATCACGAAACAGTTTCATATCCAATAGACTAGTTACGAAAGATGAACACTGCACTCTAAAAGTGCCTTTTTTATTCTATGAATTCTGGTGAACATACATCTACCTTAAGTCTCTCTCTATTCACACACAAACGCACAAGAATGCCCGATTTCGTACAGATTTCAAATGAAACACAATGCTGAACAATATATAAAAATATATATTTACTGTTTTGTTTTGTTGTTGTGGTTTTTTGGCATAGTGTTGCATTCATGTTCTGTCTGAAAACCGGTAGTTGTGCAATTGTGCAATACATAATCACTGAAATACCTCTTCCTCTTTTCCTTTCTCATGTTCCATATCCTTCATTTTCACCCTCTTTTTCTCATTCTCCCTCTCTTTTGACCTTTCCTTGCCCTTTTCCCTCAATCGTCTTTTTTCCATAGCCCTGTCCTTTTCCTTTTCTTTGGATCTTTCATCTTTAATCGTCTCTTTTTTCAAATCTGACACCAAGTCAAACAGGTCCACATGGCGCTGAGAACAGTAAAAAATGTCATTAAAATTCGAGAAGCTTCAGAAAGAAAACAATAGACTCAAATGAGAAAAAACAAAACAAAAACGAGGCTATTTAAATATTATATAGACTTACATCACTCTTGGACTTCTGAGAGGATCTTTCTAGAACATCATCACAGGAGAGATCAGAGTCCTCAGAAAAGCTGAGATTTCTCCTCAGACGTAAATCTACATCAGTAAATTAAAGAGAACTTTGCATTAGAAAATCACCAGTTGAAAGAGACTGAAAAAACATGTGCAAGTTAAACTAAACTTAGCAAAATTCTGCAAGATTTTAACATAACCCATGAGGGTCTGAAGTGAGACGTACGCGTCTATGTCACAAGCTTCAAAGCGGATTGAAGCTTTTGACACACTGCATGGATATACAGATTTTCCCGCTCTTGGTGCATACTAACCATCCACCTTTCTCTGTTTTAAAAAGCACACTTAGTATTTATCTGTTTTGGGTCCTAATTCGAAGACAGCGATCACACAACGCTTTGTGTCATGATGCTTATATTCATGGGTGCACATCATTTTTTTTTTTTTTTGGTCTGGTTCTCAAGGGAGCATCTGGAGATGCTTTACACGGCACACTTTTACAACAAGCTCTTCTCACATTAACACTATTTCTTCACAGAAGAAATTAAATATAGGTTCATCTTTGTTAAAGCTGTATTTCTTTTATTTTATTAACATTAATGATACAGACTACAACAGGAATATTATGGCTGCTGTCACTTTAAGACCGAATGCACGGAGCAAATACACTGACACACATCTGGTTTCAATTTCGACTGTTCACTTATGACATAACAGCGAGAATGCTCGCTGAGATGGGTATTTTGAATAACTTATTTGGATAATTTTGTGTGAAAGATTTAAAAGAACAAGACAAAACACGTACAAATTATACATTTTCACTCCATGATGGTTAAACTTAGCAGTTAAACCGTGAATCACATGGCCTAGTCCGTACAGATTAGGGATGTCCCGATCTGATACTCAGGATCGGTATCGGCTCCGATCCAGCCATTTTTGCGGGATCGGGTATCGATCAAACGAGGCCGATTCAAATCCGATATTGTGCGTATAGCCTACTATTATGTTATTGTTAAGCCCCACAGAAGGCACAAAAACATACTAAAGTACCATGACGTTTTTGTGCACTCTATTATAAGTGTTCTGAGCCATTATGTCAGAGAGAAATTAATATATAAGTCATTAAATTCAGGATCACGTAAACGTTTTCCTCTCGCGGCTGTCAGTCATTCTCCATTCAGCACTCAAACAGCGCGTTGCGTTCGGTTACAGTAAATGATGAAACTATCTTCAAGATGATTCAATGTTTATACTATTATACTTTATCTGTAGATTGGGCATATTTTCGCATAAAACAACATTATCTTGCTGGACTTTATTGCTGTAACTTAATCGTGTTACTTTCTACCATAACCATGTGTCGGATGCTGTCGGTTAGATCACAACACTAGAGTCAGAGCACTATTGTTCTTCACGCGCACAGTAACTGAAATTTAAAACTGTTTAAAGAAAAGGCTCAATAAACTATTGCATAGATAGATACTGTTTAATACATTGTCCATCAATATGTATTTCCTTTATGCTTTGAACTTTTCAAAGCGGACTCGACGCGCAGCGTGCATACCATAGGGTGCATACTCGGCTGCGTGCTGTTACTCCACGTGGTTTCAAGCGCATCATTCTGCGCTCGGAATGCGCATAAGCGCTTTGTGCCGCACTGTGTTGGAGTCATTCATATCATAATGCAGTGACGCAATTAAAGCTTATTAACATTAATAATTATTAATGTTGCTGCCTCATTAAATAGCTGTGCTATACACTTAGAACATGTCTCAATTTTTTTGTAGTCTTGGCTATATCTAAAATAATTATCTTTTTAATTTTTCTTATATTGTTTTTCATGAATGTATTTTACAACAATACAAAGAGCAATATTTATTATTCACTAATCTAGTTTATAATAGCATTTTTTGTCATTGATTATGATCATATATTTTGGGGATTTGTTGTTTATCTTTATTATGAGGCTGTCTGTGGATTGTGTTTAACACACACTAGAGTGATAATGAGTTTAACACACAATTATAGAAATTCTACTTGCTTTAAAAAAAACTGTACTGGTATTTACAATGTAGAATGCTGCTGTTCAAATTGTTTTAACTTTAAACCTGTTGGTAGCTATAGCTAGCTTTAAGTACTGAAGTGCATGCATTTTCTTTTATATATATATATATATATACACTGGAGGTATATTTTAAGGGGTTTAAAAATAAAATAAAAATATCGGATTAATATCGGTATCGGCAAAAGCCAAAGCTGCGGCATCGGTATCGGTATCGGAAGTGAAAAAGTGGTATCGGGACATACCTAGTACAGATCGACTGCGAACCGTTGTACGCCAAATAAACAATTAACTCACTTATCATAATCATTGCTATCTTACAAGAGATGGAGAAAAAAATCCTACTTCATTAAGTAAACATGTACCTGTCCCCAAAAATGGCAAAAATATTGCTACTCTAAAGCGTTTTCCTCCACGTTTTCTGCTGAACATCGTTTATTTTTACCATGCATGTGCACCCCGGTAATATTTTAAGCAATACACTTGCATTCTTATTACATATACCACTATGTTACATGTTATCTTAGCAACATGGTAACAGTAGTGAACTCCATTTGAAACCACTTTAAAGTGAATCTACCATGCTGAGTGATCGGTCACTTATGAGATTTGATGCCATTTAGGATGCTGGCTCAGAAAGGAGCTGCCTTCGTAGGTTTCAGATTAGATTGTGGAACAAGAACTACTGTAGGATAGACAATAATACATTTTGACTGGGATGAAAAAAAATCTGAATGAAAAAATTCCAGCTGACCTGAGGACCTGTCCAAAGGTGACTCTTTCTTCTTCCCTGAGTCTACAGTTGTAGAGCTTGAGGGTGTGCTAGGGCATGACTTGTTGTCTTTTTTCTTTTTGTCCTTCTTGTAGCCAGAGAACACCGCCTTCCACAGGGACTTGTGCTTGGGTGGCGTTTCTTCTGTGCCAGATAGTCTTTCATTTTTGGCTTTCTTTTCCTTTTTGTTCTTGCGTGGAGAAAACAGTGAGCTGCGTTTCTTGCTTTTGCCTCCTGTGGAGCTCTCTGAAGATGTGACTGAACTGTCCAAGGTCTTCATGGCCGGTGTGTCTGTCTGCTTTTTGGACTCCAAGGCCTTCACCGCAGAGTCCTTGGAGGCATTTAATTGCTTTTTGTTTTTTCCTGTTGTCTCTGGAACATTCCAGGCTACTTTTGCCACAGCACCCTTGGCAGCCTCTGTTTCTTTCATCTTACTAAGCTGCTTGGCCATAGCATCTTTCAGAGCTTGGCTTTTCACAGACTTTTCCCGTGCCCTCATTCGCTCTTCTGCGATCTCCTTGGCTTCAGGAGAAAAACGTTGGGGATTTTTTGCTGTCCGGGAAACTCCTTCAGTAATGCTGGGCTTGCCATTCTCCATTGCCAGTGCCAGGTGGAAAGGAGGCTTGTCCCGATTGACCTTGCTGGTTGGCGGGGTGTAGAATTTTTCCAGACCACTTGTATCTGGAGTGCGGTCATCGTACGTGTCTTCAACATCGTCAGCAAATGGTATCTCTTCTACGCACTCTACAAAAGACTTCCTTACTTCTTCGCGCCGTGGTTTATTCGGTTCCTTTACCCTCATCACAACAGGTGGGTTAGTTCTACGGGTCGGCACTGGAGCCATAACTGATTGTGGTTGAGGAGGACTAACTGGAGTCTTAGGTTTAGGAGGCATAGCCTCAGATTTGGGTTCCTCAGTACCTTCAAGGAGGTTGTCCCAGGAAGCCTGAGGCCTTTTGTTTTGGAGAGCAGCTGGCTCCTCATTAGGTGGGGGTGGTGGGGGACTGGAAGGAGGTGTGAGCATGGTAGAATCAGAGTTGTTGTAGCTGTCACTAGTTGCTGTCTGACTGGTAGTCACGCTTCCATTTAGACCCAACCCTGAACTGCTGCTGAAGTCTTTCTTCTCAGAACTATTGCTCTTAGGTTCCACTGGAGATATAACCTGACCCTCCAAGGTAATATTGATTCTGCGTATGATAGAACGCCCTGTGAAAGTAGGCTTCTGCTCTTCAGACAAGTCCTCTGGGGTGTAAGACCTGGGAGATGATGATTCAGGCGTTGGAGCTTTCACAATGCTCTTCTCACCCGTTATTTTGCTTCGATCTAGAGGCGAGAGTCCTAAACTTTTTCTGATCTCGGCACTCTTCATCCAGAACTCTTCAATGAGGTCCGTTTTCTTGACGGGGGTTTCCTCAGGTGCTGAATCATTCAAGGGTCCATTGTTTCGGTTCTCGGAAGCAGGTTTAGCCAAAGGAGTGGAAGTGACTGCTGGTACTGGCTGAGTTCTGACAGGAGAGCTTGTGGAGAGGGGTGAGGGTGGCTCATGGCAGGGTTGTGATTGGGTACACATTGGAGACAAAGGATTACCTGTTGGAGAACAAGCACAAGGCTGGACAGGTGATTTGGGAGATGCCATCTCTGGTTGTGGAACAGGTTGGGAGCAGATGGGCGATAGAGTAACAATTTGAGCAACAGGAGAATGGGGTCCTTTAGCATCAGGACTCTGAGGCGAGGGGATATTCAGTTTGGCATTACCAGGTAGATAGGGCTCAGGGAAGAAACGTGCACCTGGAGATTTAACTAGTATTACAGGAGAAAATTCTTTCACCTGTATAAAGGGAAAAAGAATGGTAGAATTGTAGAGTATGCAGTGGTTTTTGTTGCTATTTAAATACAGAGCAAACAAGTGAGCCCAAGACATTTAGATCTCACAACCTGCATTACCTCCTCTATGGGCAAAGCAGGTTTTTGGATTGGAGACAGCACAACGTCCACAATCAATTCCCTTGGATTTGCAGATGTTTTCTCTGCAAGGAAAAATAAAATTGGCTCAAATATTGATGGACATCGAAAATATCCCTTGAGTTGAGATTTTAATCATCAAAGTCTGAATAATTATGAAGCAAGACATTGATGCAATATGTTCAGAGACGCAAGTCATGCAAGGACATGAACATTTGCAATCAGTGGTCTCAAACAAAAATGGAAAAGGCATGAGATTATATGATTAGGTTATGATTACCAGTGTTGAAAACATGTCCCTGGCTCTCTGGTTTGCCCATATCCACTGGAAGCGTCACCACTTCGTCTATGCAATGTGAACGAGCTTCGGCCTCTGCATCTGAGGGAATGTCCTCTGTGACATTAGAAATTAAAAGAGTGAGAAAGTCTGTTCAAAATATATGGAAATACATTTTAAAAAGTAAGATTATTGCAAAAGCAAGCAAATTCTGTATACATTTCTGTTGACAGTCTATTATAACAAATACTTCATAAGTTTTCAACCCTGTTACCATCATATTTCCCCATCTTTATTTAAATAATTAAAAATAAATTACAAAAAAGGTAAGCGACAAAATAAAGTCAAAGTAACATAATCTCAGGTTTGTCGGTAAGAAAAAACGTCTGTTAACCTAATTTTACTTACTAAATCGAGACAAAAAGGCTGGCATTGCCAATTAAACTGCAAAACCTTAAACTTTCTAAAGGTGTAATAAAATCACACAAAAAAATGGCATACGGATTTGACAAACCTTGATCTATTTCAGTACCCGGCTCAAAGTCAGGACTGCCTGCTTCTGCATCGTCATCCTCTTCACAAGGCTCTGGGATCACAGGAGAAGAATAAGATGAATAAGTTGGCCAAAAGTAAAAAAAAAAAAAAAAAAGCAAAAACTATGTATTTATTAGGAAATCTTCCATGTACAGGTGTTAGCAGAACAAAAGTGTGAATAAGTGTGCAAAAAAAAAAAAAAAAGCAAAGAATAGCTAACAAATGTTAGTCTTTAGGGAACTTTAACTTAAACACAATGAGTGCACATGACAAAATGTTGAAATAAATGAATGATATTAGTAGTTAAACACATGCAAGTATGCAAGTTTAAACAGTCAAATGGCTTGGACTCAAAATCAGCAGCTGTTGAGAAGGGTTGAGATGTGGGTGAGTAAAGAGCTGTGAATAAAAAGCAATGGCACCAAACTGAACATTACAAACATAAATAAATATGTAGACTTAACTGAAACACCCTCTTCCACTCACCACCATTTTGTCAGCAAATTATATTAATTAATGTTAATATGTGCACAAAAGTTTTGCCTATTAACAGCAAAACTTTAAACCATAGCCAAGTTTTTTTTTACAAGCTTCAGATTTGTATGCAACCATTTTCATTCTGTTTCTGTTTCTATGCTCAAGGTTGTCATATGAGTTTTGTTTTTTTTTTTTTTTTTTTTTGTTTGTCCGCTCTCTGAACCATAAAAATATCTAGAAATGTTTTTAGTTCTTTTTGGCTCCGTAGCCTTGTTCTTTAGATAAAGTGCTCCATGTGTCCCCCAGAGATGCACCACAGACATCCTGGGACAACAAATTTAGAGTGTACAAATTCTTTTAACATTCTGTAAAGTGTTTTTTTATTTATTTATTTTTTATTAAAAGACATTTCAAAATTTGTATTATTTCAGAAGAATATTTAATGAACCATGTTGGATTCATGAATTAGTCAGTGTGTGTTTGGATCAAGCTGAATTATAAAAATCACACCAGATGCTGTCTCACACGACTGAAGCAGCATGCAGTATTGTCGACTTTGATTGCATGTTGAAACGTCACATGCAAATACATGTTAAAAATGATTGCAGTGGTGTTAAGTGTTCAAAAGTCCTGCCATGCACTAATGGGGGTTTCAGTTAGCACTAATATAAGATTTTTCCTCTCTACCTTCAGACATCGAGTCCAACCAGGCTCTGACAGCCTCATGACGTATGGATTTGTGGGAGGGGGCTACAATTAAATCAATGGAAATGGAAACAGGTACATGAAATGCAGTCAAAACAAAATAAAAAAAAAAGACATTAATTCATGAACAAAATCAAAGAAATCAACAGAAAAATGGGCATGTACTTAGTTAGCAATGCACCAATATCCACAATGTTGTTAAACTGAGACATAAGGACACAAAACATATAGGAGAACAAATAACTCAACCAGAGAAAGGTCAACATATTGTCAACAATAACAAACTGTGATATATAAAAAGTATCAAAGCAAGATAAAAGAATGCAGAAAGTATAAGCAGCAAGCAAAACGTGGATGAAAGGAAGAGGACAGAAGTTGTCCAACTGACCAGATAAATTCACATCAAAAGCGATCACACATGCAAATCCCACAACACCTGGTAACATTCATCAATAGTTCACCAATATTAAAATTCTGCCTGATGCTAATAATTATTTTCATGTTATTTTAAAATGTAAAAAAAAAGCCTGCAAGTAGATTTTGGCATCACGAAGTTACAATATACAACATGAAAAATAGATATTCATTCCAAGATTAACAAAAATTACATTTAATCAATGTTTTTAAGAATAATTTAAATTAGAAAATGGCACAGGGAAATGTGCATGCACAACTAAACATGCATTTAATACCAGGTGTAAATGGGACCATCTACCACCCACAAAAAGCCACCAGGCCCAGGTATGACTCCTCCACATGGAGTTACCTGTGGAAGAGGTGGGCTGTGTGAGCTGGGTATTCAGCGAGGGCTGAGAGCCTAAGGGTGACAGCGAGGAGCCCTCCACCACCCTTTCAGCCTGTTTGGATGTACAGTGTTTGTCCATCTGGTTGTCCAGAGGGTCTACTGGATGAATAGCTTGTTGGATGTGCAGGTTCCCAGCTGCATGGTGGCATTACCGGTAGCCATTAAGGTGACAAGATCATTTTGCAGGATTAATTGGTGAGCCCATTAGCACGTCAGGAACAGAAAATCCAATTTGTTTGAAAAGTAAAAAGGTCCAGGTCATGAAAAAGTCCCCATAGGCAGCAATGTGAGCAGAGAGTGCGATTCAGCAGCAATAAATGGCCAGACAGAAACAGTAAAGACAAAAAAAGATAGGAGAGCATTTTAGTTTAGAATAGACTGTAAAGTGCAAAGTTAGTAAATACTTTCATGGAGTAGCCTTTGCATGCTACTTTTTTTTTAATAACAGCAATAAAAAATAAAAGCACCATCAACTCAGTGGGTGCTTTCACACTTGATCTACTGGTGTGAATTTGAGTGAACTTGATCAGAGTTCAAATTATTTAATCAGCATTAAACTGTTGAAACTAGGATAAACATTGTGCCATGAATTAACAAGTTATAGAAGGCTTTTCAGTCCAAATATCACCAACATTAGTAATCGATTTAATGTAGTAACTAACTGTAAACATGGTATTGTGGCAGAAATAGTCAAATGTTTTTACATAATTCATTACATGGTTCGTACATCCATTTGGAAAGTTAGAATTTAGCACTTTCAAATGACTTTCAAGTGCTTCACTCTTTGTACAGCTCTTCAAAGCTCTAAATATTATCTAAATTGAAATTTTATTTGGTTACACTGCATTTTAATGTATCCATGTTACAGTATATTTTTGCATTTAAGTAGTGCGTAATAATAATTAACTAAATTACTATAAGGCTAAGGGTTGGTTTAGGGTTAGTTGCATGTAATAATGTATAATATATAACACAGTGATTGGACTGCTAGAACCACTCCTTCGGATGTCACTCTGCATGTGTAATTGCCCATCAACGTGACGACACAATTGTAAATAAAAAAACAACGCATAGCCTACAGCATAGATGCTCCGGCGTAGGTTTGACGCAGAAGTATAAATCAGCCTCAATGAGTACACTTAAATGAAGTGTTACCTGTGTGTGTATATATATACAGTGCCCTCCACAATTATTGGCACCCCTGTTTAAGATGTGGTCGAGGACTTTTAAAAATTCTCCCTTTTTTTTAAACAACATAGAATCCAAATGCAAAAAAAGAGAAAAATCCAACCTTTTATTTAAGTACATTACTTTGGTGGTAAATTTTTTTTTTAAAATTTAAAAAAATAAAAACTTCAAATCATGTGTCCCACAATTATTGGCACCCCTGATGTTAATACTTTGTACAACCCCCTTTTGCCAACAAGACAGCACTTAATCTCCTCCTATAACATTTCACAAGATTGAAGAACACAGAGAGAGGGATCTTTGACCATTCTTCTTTGCAAAATCTTTCTAGATCATCCAGTATCCTGGGCCCTCTCTTGTGCACTCTCCTCTTTAGCTCACCCCACAGGTTTTCGATTGGATTGAGGTCTGGGGACTGAGATGGCCATGGGAGGACCTTGAGTTTGTGACTGAACCATTTTTGTGTAGATTTTGCCACACGTTTTGGATCATTATCCTGCTGAAAGACCCAATGACGACCCATCTTCAGCTTTCTGGCAGAGGCCATCAGGTTTTTATTTAAAATGTCCTGGTAGTTCAAAGCGTTCATAATGCCATGCACCCTAACAAGGTTCCCAGGGCCTTTGGAAGAGAAACAGGCCCACAGCATCACAGATCCTCCACCATACTTCACGGTGGGCATGAGGTACTTTTCGGCATACACATCTTTTGTTTTACACCAGATCCACTTAGAGTGTTTGTTGCCAAAAAGCTCAATCTTAGTCTCATCCGACCAAAGCACACGATCCCAGATGAAGTCCCAGTGCCGCTTGGCAAACTCCAGGCGTTTACGTTTGTCAGTGTTAGTGAGAAAAGGCTTTTTTCCGAGCATGCCTCCCAAACATCTTGTTGGCATGTAGAGAGCGTCTGATGGTTGTTTTGGAGATTTTGTGACCCCAAGATGCCACTATTTGATGCAATTCTGTGACCGTGAGCTTAGGACTTTTTTTTACTTTTCTTAGCATCCTCCTCACAGTGCGTTGTGGCAAGATAAACTTGGGACCTCTTTCAGCCTTGTTTGTCACTGTTCCTGTTGTTTTAAACTTCTTAATGATTCCTCTAACTTTAGATATGGGCAATATAAGGTGAGTGGCTATTTTCTTGTAGCCATTGCCTGACTTATAAAGGTCATCACACATCTGCCTTACTTGAATGGTGTGTTCTCTTGTCTTTGCCATGTTGACAAATGGGTAAGAGAATTAGGCCTCTGTGTCATGTCATATTTATACCCCAGGGAAATAGGAAGTCATGAATTACTAATTAAAAGTTCCTAGATATCCTGACCAACATTAGCAACTACAGAAAATATATTTTTAAAAAAAAATCAATTACATTTTTCAGTGGAATTGTTAGGGGTGCCAATAATTGTGGGACACAGGATTTTAAGTTTTTATTTTTCTAAATTTTTACATTTTTTTTACCACCAAAGTAATGTACTTAAATAAAAGGTTGGATTTTTCTCTTTTTTTGCATTTGGGTTCTATGTTGTTTAAAAAAAAGGGAGAATTTTTAAAAGTCCTCAACCACATCTTAAACAGGGGTGCCAATAATTGTGGAGGGCACTGTATATATATATATATATATATATATATATATATATATATATATATGAAGAGTTCATGTGCAAAAGCCTCTAAATGCCATTTGAAAATTTCTTCTTTAATGATGATTATCAAACTTGTATATTTAAGTTCAGTAATTTCACTTAAATAACAATTAACAGGTAATTATCATTGCCATTTAAGTGAAATCACTGAACTTAAAAATACAAGCTTGATAAAAATGATCATTCTAGAAGAAAATTTCAAATGGCACTTAGAGGCTTTTGCATCTGAACTCCTCATATATATATATATATATATGTATGTATGTGTGTGTGTTAATAAAAGTTAATTTTATTTGGATCTTAACTCAAGCTTAGTGCTTTACTGTAAGGAAATAGAAAATAAACATACAATACCATTAGTTACTGCACTTATTAATGCAAAATAATAGTAATTTTATGATTAAATGACATTTATGATTAAAAATCCCCCCACGCCCCAGAGCTACCAAATCAGGTGCTGGTGGCACCATCTGTAGAGCTTAGTGGCACCGGTGCTATTGCTCTCAATATTAGTCTGGAGCCCTGTAATGATGATATAATTTGCACATTATAGTAGGCCTTTAATTCATTTCTCATACTTTGTTGCAGAAATGTCATGCACTCTTCCATACATTATTCGCTTCTTTTGCACTACATTTTCGGTGGAGCAAATTGTGGTGTCTGTTAGTGGGATAATTCATCCAAAACTGTGAAGAAATGTGAAAAAGTGTCATAATTTACTCACTGCCAGTGCCTTGTCATTCCAAACATGCAATGTAAGTCAATATTAACCAAAATGGTTTGGTTACCCATCTTCTTCAAAATAACTTTATGTTCCACAAAAGAAACCCATACAATTTAGGGGTGAATTAACATTAACATTACAAGGAAGCTGGCATCCCTGTTACCCAGATCATCTTCTCTCCCTGTTACCAAGCTCAGATTCAAACCGCTCATCTGTTCAAACCATTCCAAGTGTGAAAACACCCTGATAAAATCTCATTCAAAACACCTCAGTGGTGTGAAAGTACGATATTTGTACTCAAATTAACATTTTAACAGAAAAAAAGAGCAATTAACAGCTCCATAGCCGAATAAAAGCTAAAAAAAAAAATCAAGAGCTAATTAAAAGATAAAAGCAGGAGAAATAAGCAAACTGAGTTAGCTCAATAATTCTTCATTTACAAATGAAGTTACCAGGTATCACTATGTGCTTCAAGCCAAACGCATCCACAAGCATCACTACCTTTAAATTTACCCGTATCCTCTTCATTTGTAAGATTCTCCAACCAAAGACCTGACTGAAGCTCCCTCTCCCAGGGCAAATACTCTCCCGCTGTCATCCCATACAATTACCCCAGCACACACACACATACACAAAGACACACGATGGAAAGACGGAGCAGAGGATAAAGAGACAAGTGACAAGTAAAAGATGGGGAAAAAAATACAATATTCACAGAACAGGATGACATAGAGAACAAGGAACCTCTAATAACATTCGGATACAGGAGTACTGAGGATTTCAACATCAGCCACAGTACCACCAAACTGGTGAATCTATAGTGTCATGGTGAAATAATTTGCAAACCTAAGGATTCAGCATTCAGAACATATATTCTGATTGATGAACAAATAGTTCTCTTATGAGTTGGATGAACAATAAATTCAAAGTTGAGTTTATTCACTCAATTGAATGCTCCAGGGAATCCGTCAGATTGGGTACTGAATTAATATATGATTCACAGCAAGCTATCAAGACTTTCATGATATCTGCCCATGATAAATACAGTACAATAGTGATAACTATTACCATATATGTATACTTTAGATTTCCGAGTCATTGTTTAGTTTATAGTATGTCTTAACCTATTATTTGATTGATTGGCTGTTGATTCATTAATTTTATAAATAGTTATATTTGGACTGCTGTAATATGACAATATAATTCAACTACCAAAAAGTACTATATATTGATATGCATTATAGAATCCTTGATTTCAGATTGGTTGACAGATGTTCCTGTGTTTCTATAATTAAAAGGGCCATTGTCAAACAGTCCTTACCTATGTGTTAGCTTTCACCATGTAAAATACTTCTAATTTCTAAAGTATGTGTTAAAGAAAGTTATAAAAGGTTCTTTTTATGAGAGCAATACAAGACACAGTTGGATGAGGAAAACTAGTTAATTTGCCAGAGATCCCAAAAACATAAGAAAATGCAGAAGGCTGAAAAGGCGAATAACAGGAGCACATTAGTATAAACAAGTTTAGAATCTCTGAATGATTCAAAGACTCACTGATGAGATATAGCAGTGTAAAAAAAATATATATATATCAGGGGCTGAAGCTCTGAGGTAAGAGCAATCTCTCAGGAAATCTTTGTGTTACATTTTTCATCAGAAAAAACTCTTACTGAAAGAGAAAATGTAATTTCAGAAGTTCTCTGTGAATATGAGTCAGCAGACAACCCTGGTGAACATATAATATCTAATCAGAGGAGCTAGGCGCCACATACATAAAAATGATATGAAGTGGAAAAAAGAAATGAGACTCAGCAGAGCAAACACATCACAGTCTTTCTAGTCGTTTAGAATTATCTGCTAAACAGAAAAAACAATAGAAGCTACTTCAAGATTGCCCTCTAAAATCAAATGAACCGCCATCAAGTGGGCCTTTCTGTCCAAGACATCCATATGCGGCCATTATTCATTGTGTAGAGAATCTATGATCAAGCCAACAGCACAAACACGATGCTTACCATCACTTGATTCCTCCTCTTCCTCCTCCTCATCTTCATCATCTTCCTCCTCCTCTTCATCCTCATTCATCTCTCCATCATCATAATGAAGGCCGTCTTCGTCTTCAGCTGCACCAGGGTCGCATTCTCCCTTTAATTTAGTGTGGAGCTCCACCGCCTCTTTCCAAGGCACCCCACCCAAATCGGACGGGCCGGTCGCTTCCGGTTCTTCATCCTCTTCTTCCATATCAGACTCTGAGCTGCTGCGGGCACGGAAGACACGGATGTGTTAAAAAAAAATCAACAAATGATGCCTGGCTGCTCTTTTTATTTGCAAATAAACAGCATGCTCTCTCAGTTTAACTTTGTACAACAGGGTGCCAGATTTCTATAGAGCCTTCCAGGCGAAAACCTGGCTAAAACACCCGTAAACAAGCCTTAATACGTAGCGAAAAAACACCCAATCTGGCAACATAAGACACCAGTGTCGCACCGCGGCCGCCGTCGGCAAAGCAGCGCGCGAGGAGGCGTCGTATGATCATTTAAACGGATTTTATGACGAGGTTGGTGAGGATGGGAAAAATCTTAAATTTCACAACAAAAAATAATTGTTGTCTGTGGTTGTATATGGGCTGTGGCAATAAATAAATAAAAAAGCTCGCAACATATGGGAAAAAAAAGAATTATGAATGAACTAGTTCATTTTTTGAAATATGAACTGAACTAGTTCATTTTACAATGTGTGAACTGAACTTTGAACTAGTTCATGTAGAATGTGAACTTTCCCAACACTGACTAGATTTAAAATAACAAGATTAGGGAGGACAATTATAATATAGACATAATATGGCACTTAATTTTATACATAATAAAAATCCAATTAATCCAATTATAAAAGATTAATTGGATCATGAAAATGGTCTCTATATGAGGTCTTTATACTGTATCTCTATACATGGTCTCTATGTCTCTCCATAGATTTGCCTGCATATTTAAAAAAAATATATATTTTTTTATTTCAAGCCAGAACATTAAAAATTCAACAAAGGTATTAAAAAAACTGGCAGCACAATGTCCTCTAAGTGTAGTTAAGAGAGGCTGTCCTTGTTGCTTCAAGTCACTTTCCTTGAACAAATTACCATCTGCCAAGTTTAAAATGCCAACTCGCATCTATTGTACGAGACTTAAAAAAAAAAAAAAAAACATGGACAAGTTTAATAAAAAATAAAAAAAATAAAACACACTTTGGCCACACATTTTGATTACAGCAGAATTATAGTAGTAAAGTACTAATGAACGAACCCTGTTTGAATTTGTAACATGTAATGGCATAGAATTATTTTAATATTGGTATTTACGTTATCAGTGGAAATAGTAATTGCACAGCAACACCGTAGCAGTGTAACCAGGATGACGTAAAGAAGAGAGAGATACCTGGATCCCTCCTCAATGTTGGTGGGTTTGTCCAGCACACTGCTGAGGTTGTGCTCGGCCTGTGTCTCCTCGGGCACCTCCTCCAGCTCCTCCTCTCTCATCATAGACAGACGGTAGTTCTCCAGCTCGATCCTTTCCGGAGTCCCTTTAAGACGTTTGGCCACGCTGGGCTCTGTAAGCCCGTTCACCTCTGTCACTGTGACGGACAGAAAAAAAAAAACGTAGTTAATGTAAATAGTTAATATTTGAACAGAGAGGGAGAGGCTCATGGCTGGTGTATAGGGGTGAAATTGTAGTAATTAGCATAATGTTAGCATATTAATTGTAATAAATGTTCATAAATTCTTAATTTTGTTGGTGCAAAAAGCATTAGGTGGTAATACAAAGATGTATAAATCCATTTTAGTTTATCATCTCCCATAGTAACTCATATCTAGTACTGTCTATCCACCCCACCTCCTTTTATTGTTGTTTTGAAGCTAACAAATTTCTCCATATCGATGTTCATTTGCACTCAGACAAATAAAACAAACACAGTCAAAGTTCTCTTTAATTTTTATTTACACAAGCAATATTTGTTCTTCATTAATCAACATATATACTAGATTTAAATATCACATTGTCAGTAAAAAACCCTTAAATACATCCTTAAATAATAAATACAATGATTACCTTGCCTTTTTTCCCTTCCCATAAAGCACCTCAAAAACATTAGTTTTAATTATTAAAGAACTTTGTTTTAACATTAACGAACATGTAGACATGTGTAAAACTAATTTCTATCCAGTTAAGTAAATCCCAAAACCCAAATCAAGCCAGTGAGAACATTTTGTGCGTGTAATTTAACAAATCATGACTGTGGTGGAAACGGTTACAGGGGTGAAGCATGCAATCTAAAACGGAATTATGATCAATGTAATCTGAACTCACTGAATAATGGATATCCCTCAATATATAGATTATGTAGTGACAGAGCCCATGAATAAATAGTGCGTCATGTTCAGCTGATGCATATTTATGATTCCAGATTAATCTGATCCTTTCACTCAACTGCTAAAGGAATAAAACATGCTTTCATATATTGGACACATTTCACTAACAAATCTAAAAGTCAAAAAATAAATTATTAAAGAAATGTAATTAAATAAATTATAAAAAGAAGAAATTGTCTGTTTTAGATCAATTAAATGCAGTATTGCAATGAAAAATAATATTAATGGCTCATTTTCTTATTTTCTAAGGCATAGCTGTATTATTATTTTTTTGCTGTTGTTGGTGCATTAAATGAAAATGAAGAAAAATCAGTACAACTGAGATGGAAATAATGTCTCAATTAAAGTCTTAAAATTGAGCTTCATTGTCTTTATGTAACATATAATTTCTATTTTCTTTTTGAGGTGACATAACAAAAAAATTCTTTAAGATTTAACCTAAAATGTATACGATTAATGCTAATTAAGACGCCGCTAAAACCTCTTAAAAACACTAACCATTTATGCTTTATATATTTCATTCTAAGTAGCACAAACTCACCGGCAGGTTTGTATTGTAAATCATTCTCAGTGATACACACATAACAGATGCCATGAGCAGTGGTGTTAGTATGAAGAGAATAATTAGGACATGAACAATCACTTGGACAGAGATGCAAGGGTTGATGGGAGTGTAGACCAATCACAGGCACAGATGCAGGCACTAGCTCAGCAACAAGCTGCTCTGATAGGAGAGGGGAAAGGTAAAGCTTACAGAGTCCACCAATCACAAGCACTGATACGAGCACTACGTTACAAAATGTGCACAGATCAGAAATTACAATCACAAACTTAAAGGCACTAATCACAGATCTACACACAAAGGAGAGCAAACAAAACAGGCAATACATAAACAATTTTTAAAACACATGCAGGCAAAAAAGGGTTACCTATTATTGCTCTTAAATTTAATTAAGAAATATCACTAAACGTCACCAGCTTCACACAGCTCTAGACTATAACAGTTCAAGTTATCACAATTAAATGATACACTTTTTAGCCTGAATGGTTTCACACCCAAATGAAGAAATCTAACAAGGCTGCATCATTAAGAATAATATACATACTATACATCCAAGCGGTTAACAAAGAGTTAATAATTTGTGACACACAAAACAAGCACAATATCACTAAATCACAGCATGTGCTGGCAGGAAGTGCCCAGATTAGCTCAGAAGCTGGAAGGGGTTCATGCTAGAGAATATCGAGCAGGAGGTTGAGAGTAAAGCAGGAGAGCAGATATACGCAGTAGGCGAGGAGGAAAGGAGAATCTAAGGGGTTGTGCGCCACCTGGTGGCGGATCCAAGACATCGCTTGTCGCAACGAGCGCATGGTGCCCCATACTCCTCGAGAGAGGCACAGGAAGGGGCCTAAAGAAGAAAGGCGGGTACCTGAGGGGCGGAGTTCCACAGGGGCCTGAGAAGTTATGGCTTGGCCTGGGGCGTCCACTGTGTTGGGGGCTACCGCCAACACCTGGGGCTCCTATGGACGCAGTAAAAACATATGAAAGTGTATTGTAGTTGCATCAGAAATTATAATAAAATAGACTATGGAAGGTGGGAATACAGTGATTTTTCCCAAACACAGAGATTAAAAAGACATCAATACCTTGGGGTTTGAGGGAGCAGCGGAAGGTGCAGGCCGTTTTCTCTGTGCCACACTAGAAAGTCGGTAGCAGTAGTGCGGTTTACAGTAAAACTTCCCTAAAAGAACAAAAAGACAAATTCACAGCATTAGCATCCGTTTCATGACATAAATCAAAGAAAAACCCACAAATGAAGTGACGCAAAATGCAGCCAATCCGTTTGTCGTGGTTGATTTCCTCCTAACATGCATATCTGTAACTATGTGGGAGGTTATGAAACGGCTCATAGTTAATAAAGAATCGTTGATCGTGCAGAGAAACAGTCCCTCTGTTTCAAAACAACAATATCCCACTGTGTTGGTCACAAAGTTCATCTCATGACAGAAAACTATGAGCAAGCATTTATTACAGGAAATTAAAGCGAATGCTTGCATTCATCAAAAAAGCTTTAAAGAATATTATTAAAGCTACACTGTGTAACTCTTAGTTTATTCTTAGCTAAAAACACTTTCAAAAATCTTTCAAAAATACAGTATATGTGCTCATTAATGTATATTTACTTCGTTCAAGTAATAAAGTATTCTCGTAAGTGTATAATATGCCATTGAAAATACATACGGGTAAGGGGTTCTAATGTCGGTCGCCATGTTGCCCCTCCATCTTGAAAGTACATTAGCCAAAGAGGGACATACCTGTTAATTCAAGCTTCGCCTTTCGTGTTTACGTTTGAGTTAACGCTCATGGACGAGGTTGAACTGGAAGCTATGTTAATCTTGGACTATATTGGCCACCGTAGGAGTTAAAATGAAATCGGAATTGAGAGGAACAGAAACTAATATTCACTCGATGGTCATATCCACAAGTTTCCTACGCCCCATGAGGCCTTGCGTCAAAAGTGGGCGCGACTTCCGGTTGGAAGTAAACAAAGCGCGACTTGACATGCTTAACACTCGTTCATTCAACAGTTGACAGTCATTCAAGTTATAGCGATCCAAACTAGCTAACGATGTGGGAACACAACCTCAACGAAATTAAAAAGGGTGAAATAACACTACCTTTACCCTCCGCAGTCGTTGATTGGGAGTATTATAATAACATTATTAATTATCAATACTCATCAAGGCATCGTGACAGACAGATGTGCGAGCTGACAAACAATTCAAATAAAAAAATACACACTTAGTCATTGTGCTTTGGAGTTTATTCAAAATTATAAATGAATGTGCTGCTTGAATACATTACTGGCACATTTGGTATTCTGTCAACACAGGCTTTGATCCTGAGTTTAGGTGTAAAATCAGTAGCGAACAGCCAATCACATGCTGATAGAGTTTATAAAATATAAAGAATTTAAAAAAAATGTACACAGGAAGATTCGTCGTCTTTTGGGAGGTGATGGAAACTAACGTTACAGTCGTTGGCAGGATCAGAGACGGGCTCTGGCATGATCACTCGTTTTCAGCTTATGTTCAAAACAATCACGTTTAAGCCACTGAATTAGTTTAGTCCGGTTATACATACTACCGCGAACAGCACATATTGTCCCTGAGCTCCGTAACGACATCTCTCATAAAGATTTGCGTCTTTAAATAGTAAAATAATTCTCCGAAAAACAGCTAGCATCTTCGCTAACTAACACACAAAATACCATTGGAATGCTACTTCCGCCGCGTCACCGGAAGTTTCACCCACTTTATTTTTTACTGGAGCGCCCCTCGGAAACTTGTGGATACCTTTTCACCGCTAGATGGGGGTAAAAATAACCCAGTGTAGCTTTAAAATTAAGCTCATCGACACAAGAAAAATAGTTGTATATGCGAAAATGTTTGGTAACTTATAAGTAGCTATGAATAAAATAAATCAGGAGGGACATTCTATAAGTTGGATTTAATTTCATACCGTCCTCAACGTCGAAGGCGTACGAGGACAGGCGGAGGGTGGTGCCACAGTAGTCGCACTTGAAGCAGCTGCGATGGAAAAACTTTCCTTCCGCGCTGAGACGCTCCATCACGTAGACACGCTTCCGACAGAAGAAACACACGTCACTGCCACCGATGTTCTGAGGGAACTCCTTTCGCAAGGAACCCTGTGGAGAGAGAGACAGAAAGGTTGGTTTAGGTCAAGGAGTGGCACCTAACAGCATAGACATCTACCAAAAGAGACAGACGTGTACCAAAACACTGCATGATTTTCTGTTCTTTTGAGGAGTTGAAAATGAAAACACAACTGGGTGTTCAGATTTCACAATATGGACATAATAAGTTATACAAATTTAACAGATTAATACATATTATAAACAAAAAATCCTTAAAAAAACTAAAATTAAAAACAGGTTTTTTGAAATTCTAAAAATGAATTTACAAATGTATAAATGCGATAGTAGTAAAAGCTCAACAATGATACAGTGAACCTTTCTCACGGGTCTTTTTTTTTTTCTTGGAACAAAAACTGTTGCAATAATAGAACATGGATTTATATACCTGAAACAACTTTTTACCCTTATGAAAACTTAAATCATCTTTGTTCTTGTTAATGTTATTCCGGTAAGGTTCTAGTAAAGTTGCTGTAGACCCAATTTTCAGTGTACTGAATCATCTTGTTCACAAGTAGTTGGTGATACCCAGTGCTACAAGTAGGCCATCTACCAGGGTAAAATGTGCTATTGAGTCTCAGTGATGTACACCTATACTACAACACCCATAAATCTTACCAAATCCCTTTTCTCAAGCAAGGAACCAGGGTCATCCTTAGCCTGAAGCTGATTGGCTATTTGCTCAGAGTCAGACAGTGAGCTCACATCCCCTGTGTACATCTTAGTGATCCATGTAATGAACAGAACAAAAGAAAAATTGAGGGGGGATTTGTAAAGGTTTTTTATATATACTAAAGAAATCATATGCATTTCAAGACACTCGAGGGTTAGAAATACAAAAACAAAAGTTAAATGCAAATGTTCTTGCATGGTTATTTGTGCAGATGAGAGAAGGCACGATTTGTAAGGCAATTCAAAGTGCAAAACAAGTTGTGAGAAAATGGTAAAAAGGAAAATGGTTAGCTGAAATAAAAACCTTCAAAATGACACTTTTACACCACAGCATACTTGATGCAACTTCCTTTTAGTAGTTTCCGAGGGTCAGTAAGATTTAAAAAAAAAAAAAAATGAATGCTTTTATTTAGCAATAGAGTGCCGAAGTGATGACGTCGCTTTGCAGGACAACTCAGAAGCTAGCGGCGCATGGGTTCCCTCGATCGAAAAGCAATGCATTTTGCCTGTACTTTTGGAAAATCGCAAAAAAATAAGATCTGTGTTCAACGAAGAGTTGTGATCTTTGCAACTCAATCCAAAATGTATACATTTTGAAGCCTATATAAAGTTTAATTTAAAAAACACAAGCCGACAAAATAAAGTTAAAAAAACACAAGCAGGTTATAACTGTGTGTGCTCTATGTCATAGATCAAAACGTGAAAATATTTAGAGGCTTTGTAACTTCGTAACTTCGGCACTCTATTATCCATTAAATAAAAGTGACGGTAAAAGTGACAGTTATGATGTTTCTAAATATAAATGCTGTTCTTTTGAACGTTTTATTCGTCAAAAAATACAAAGCAGCACTGTTTTTGACATAAGAAGAAATGCTTCTTGAGCAGCATATTATAATGATTTCTGAAAGATCATATGACGATGAAGACTGGAGTAATGATGCTGGAAATTCAGCTTTGTTATCACAGGAAGAAATTTCACAAAAATATATATTAAAAATGAAATTGTAATTTTCTCAGAATATTACTAATTTTCAAAAATATTTAAAAAATCTTACCAACCCCAAACTTTTGAATGGTAGTGCTTCAAGACAATGAAGAGTTAAAAATAAATAAATAAAGTTAAATTCAGATAACAAATATATAAATGAATAAATAAAGCAATTCAGAATGAGGCAGTCAAGTTGTACAAAGGAAAACTGTTAACCTTCGGCCTACAATTACAATTTTACACAACATCACACGCACTTGAAGATGCAAACTTATCTCCTGAAATACTCAGACTGTGTTGCAAGTGCTACATAATCGTCATGTTTGAAGCATGTTCAATTCTAATTCAATGTAGCATGAAAATCCAGGGCTGTTTCCCAAAAGCAACGCAAACTAAGTTGGTGGCAATTAGTCTTAGCCTCAGACATCACACCCACAGACTGAACATCTGATGCACATTTTGGCACATAAAAAAAAAAAAAAAAAAAAAAATTCAAGGTCATCATCTGATTGGTGGAATTCTACAGGATTTCCATTACATTCTTTAACGACCCACAAAGGTGATGCCAAACCCCCTTACGGAAGAAACAAGACTTTGCGTTTGTAGCTGTGAGGATCAGGATAAACAAAACGCTGGATTTTCAAAAGTATGTGTAGGTAAAGTTTGCTGCATAGACCCTTTAAAACATGTCCAAGAGTTTTACGGGACAACGGCGTTACATTTTCACACCCCTAAACGTGACAGGGAACAAAACGAACTGTGATTGGTTGCCTTGGGCCAATGAAAACTGCTATGTCCAGACTTTCCACCATCAGTTGGAAGGTCTGGCAATGTGAGACTAGGTGGAAATGGAATTCTTTTGGGAAACGCAGCACAGATTAGTTTCCGAAAATAGCTTTCATGCAGCTCATGATGAATATAGGTCACATCCAGCTTATAGCGGTGTAAAAACGTATGGCAACATACAGTACTTGTCCATTTGTTGTTGTATTTCGATATTCTTTGCTTCACACACTGATGCACACATCTGGTTATATATACAGGTGAAGACTGGAGTGAGATGCCTTTAGGCAAAAGGTTCACAGAGTGGCACCAACACATCCATGCACACAAATGACTCCAGAACACAGCAGTCATTCGATGCATCATTGCTACCTGCCGGGAAGAGCCGGGGGAAAGGAGAGGGCTATCAGAGCTCACATCACACGCTCTGTACCACTGCTCTGTGAAGAAGTGTGATGGCTTTTTCTTAGACTTTGAAAGATGCAGAGACAGAAAGAGAGATGAGGGGAAAGTAAAGTTAAGATGACAGATGAACAGCAGGCAGAAAGACTACAAATCGACTGTCTTAAAATGAATGTTGCAAGTTAAATACAAGCTAACCTCCAACAGCATCTGTGACAAAATAACAGTATTATTATAATAATAACACTTGCAATAGAAGTCTTATTTGTGTATTTCTTTTTGGATTTAACAAAGTTATTTTCCATTGAAATCAACAGCATCTCTACATGAAGCTTAACTTTAATTGTAAAACAAACAGGTCTTGTAAATTCTGACTAAACGAGCAACATTCATTTCAATGTAAAACGCAGATAAACACATCTGTCACTGCTTGAGGTATATTCCGATTATTATCCAATTAACACTGCTGCAATTTATAACATTGATGTTCAAAATTTTGGGGTCAGATATTTTTTATGACATTTTTATTTTATGACATTATTTTATTATAATACTTTTGGTAACGTTGTTTTGATTCTTTCAAAAACATTAAAGGGATAGTTCACCCAAAAATGGAAATTAAGTCATTAATTACTCACCCCTATGCTGTACCAACCCCCCGTAAGACACATGCGTCGTGGACATCTCTTGAACTCTCGTCTCAGGCCCACAAGGAAGAAATTGAGTAGTCGAATAAAGTTGTAATTTTTGTTTGTTTTTTTCGCACAAAAAGTATTATCGTCGCTTGATGAACTTATATTTGAGCCACTGTAGTCACGTGGAATATTTAAACATTTTCTTCATTGATTTCCTGGGCCGTCAAGTTTCAATCCCTTAGGCAGCCTATGTAGCAGTGATCCACCTCTCAAATTTAATCAAAAATATCTTCATTTGTGTTCTGAAGACGAACAAATGTCTTACGGGGTTGGTACAGCATGGGGGTGAGTAGTTAATGACTTAATTTTCATTTTTGGGTGAACTAACCCTTTAAAGATTTTGCTACTGACCTCAAACGAAAGTGTATGTTGCTGCCGCCACCATTTATAAAACAGACAAGCCACAAGAAGTCAGTGAAGAAGCTGATTTTACCATACTTAAGAAGTGTTTTAACTGTGAACATGACATGAATATTAGCTTTATTTAACCTAGAACATTTCCACTCCAACTTTTCTAAATTTGTTGTGATAATGACAGAGTGCCTAACTGCTAAAATGCAACATTTAGGGCTGTATATGAATGACACATACATTAATATACACACACACAAATGTTTATTAAAACAAAATTGTGAAAAAGAGTGTGTTTTCAAGGACACCCGTGCTGAAAGTTCACCTTAGGCTTTGGTGGTTTGTCTTTAAACTGAGAGGTTAACCTCTCAGCTCGTTCTTGAATGCTGGGAATGTGTAAAGGTACGTGATCATCAGAACACAAAATCTGCCTCTGCTGTGAGAGAGATGCAGTCTTAAAATCATGGAGTTAGGACAAGGAATATCAACGTTTACAGCAAAACTGTGAAACCTTTTGAGCCATTTAGAGTTAAGTATAAGGCATTCAAACCATCATACTGTAGGTTAGAGGAACTTTGTGTTTAAGATGCAGATGAGACGTCCATGCATGTTTCTCCATGCTCAGGCAGAGCTACCTGATGCTGGAGGTCAGAAGGAAAGAGGGATTGCTCAGGGCGGAGGCCTTGGGTCAAAAGCCACTGCTCAATAAAGAACCGTGATGGCTTTTTCATAACCTTCACAAAGAAGATGTGAGGAAAAAAAAAGAACTATTAACTTCAATACACAAAAAAAGGGGCGCAAATGTTCAAGATAACTCAACAACCCTCTACAATGCGAGTAAATCACTCAGATATGCAACCAAATGTCATACTAGGTTACTAAAAAAAAATCTTTAATTAGCCAAGCAAACGCACTGTTGCTTGGCTAAGTGCCCTCTGTCACGCAATCACACACACACACTGAGAGAGGCTTACACATGCCACGTAAAGAGAATTGACGGGCTAGCTCTAAATGCAGTGCTGGACAATAAGGGCTGCCCGATGACCAAGAGTTGATGGAACGGTCATTGTCCCATGGTGCATCGTCATTAAAAGTGTATTATT